CCTATCTGCAAACCCCCTCGGGGTGGGAGTCATTCACTGCCTGAGAGCTAGAGGACAGCATTAGGCCCAGGTCACGGCTGAAGCCCCAGTCCAAGAAGACAAAACAGCATCAGTGTGATATGTGCATGAGAAACTTCAGCTGCAGGGTGAGTCTGGTGACCCACCAGCACTGCCACTTGCAGGAGGGTCCCAGTGATGGTCACCGTGTCCAAGAGAGGGTCTCACCCAACAGCCTGGTTGCCCTGCCCAGCCACATCCCCTGGAGGAAAAGTCAGTTACCTCGTCTGTGGTTATTGTGGCAAGAGCTTCAGCCACCTGTTGGATCTGGTGCGGCACCAGCACATCCACACCGGCAAGAGGCCCTACAGCTGCACCAAGTGTGAAAAGAGTTTTGTCGAGAAGCATCATCTCCTGCAGCACCAAAATGTCCACCAGCAGGAGCGCACCAGGCTGGTCCTGGAGCCTGGAAGGCCCCATGGCCTGCTTTAAGGGCGTCAGCCTTTGCCTGTTCTGGGGACTTAGGGGACTGACAGTGGTCCCCCGAAGAGACACTGCGGAGAGTCAGGGACTGACTTCTTCCTGAGGGGAGTTGCTTTGATTTGCCTAACCTTGGCCAAGCAGCAGGCTGAGCCCAAGTCCTCAGACCTGTGTGGAGGAGGGGCAGGGCCAGGCCTAACCCTGCTGTCTACTCTGCTGCTGAGTTTGCCATGTCTTTGGCACCTTCACATCTCAGTTTTTCCCATCCACATTGACGCTCATGTCCTGGGGTTGGTTTGAGGGCCTGTTCCAGCGTTTCAGTTCTTCCCACGGGGCGGAGTTGGGCCAAAGAAGCAAGCCGGTGTGCAGAAGAGCTTTGGGAAGCATGACCCTTTATTTTCTCTCATTTTGTAGTTTCCTTGTTAATACCAAGTAGAAGAAGTAATTTAAATGAACTGCTCACCCTGCTCTGAAGAACTTTCTGGAAGTTAGATTCTAATGGATTTTTGAAAAAATACAGCCCGACACTTAAAATGTAAAAAAATTTAAAACAAAAAAATCAATATCTGTACCTACCTATCTATATCCATCTCAAATGTCGTGTCTTTCATTTTTTTAAAATTTTTTTTTCAGATTTTATTTATTTTTTAGAGAGAGGGGAAGGGAGGGAGGAAGAGAGGGAGGAAAACATCTGATGTGCTAGAGATAAATCAATTGGTTGCCTCTCACAAGCCACCAACTGGGGACCTGGCCCACAACCCAGGCATGTGACCTGACCAGGAATCAAACTGGCAACATTTTGGTTCGCGGGCTGGGAGGCTAGCATTCAATCCACTGAGCCACACCATCCAGGGCACAAATGTCATATCTTCTTAAAGCCTTTCCCAAGGCCAGACAGGATTAATAATGCTCTTCTCTGGGCTTCCATAGAATTCCATTCCAATTGCTGCTATATTACATATTATATATTACAATTAGTTGTTTGCCTGTCTCCTCAATAGACTCTGAGCACCTGTTCATCTTTGCAATTCCAGTTTCTAGCATTATGCCTGGTATAAAGCATGTATTTAATAGATATCTGTTAAAAGGAATGTTGGAATTTTGATGGGATTTTGGATTTTTTAATAAAAGTACTCTTCACTGATTTTAAAGAGCATTTTCCTTATAGGTATGCTTTGATTATAAGTTTGAAAACTCTAAATGGAATGGAGACGCCAGCACTGTTGTTTTGAGGTTGATGATCCTGCAATTTTCACTGACTCTACAGACACATTCTGATTCTAGCTTCTGAACCTTTCTGTCCTTTATATCTTTGTTACAAGAACACAAGCATTTGTCATGAGCTCTCCTCCCCACAGATAATGAAGTTCATAAGACAAAAGGAACAGAGAAAAGAGGCAGGATGAGATCATCCTATGTGTGTGTGATACCTATGTTCTTTTGTTGATAGTAAATTTCTATTAAAAGGCCCCACTTCTTTCAGGATCATTTATCCATTCACTCATTCATTGAAGAAAAAGTCCTTATTATTGAATGAGTAGGCCCAATGCTAGGGGAGAAAATGAGTTTATAGTTTGGTAATGGAAAAGAAAAAGTCAGGTAGAAAGTACTAAGTTTTATAAAAAAGAAACAGACAAATGTCATGAGATTCCTTAATGAGGAAAATTAAGTTCAAGAAAGTGAACTAACTTGCTCAAGTTCACACACCTTGTAACTGTTAGAGCTGAGATTTATTTCTCTTATGTTTGATATCAGATGGACTAAATGGAGGAACCGAGGTTCAAACCTAGTTCCAGATGGTACAAAAACCTGTGGTCTACAACCCACCATGCTGCCTCCCATAGGCTACTTCTTTAGTTATCTGAGAGAGGTAAATGGACCTGCACTAGGTTACTGGCAATGAAAATAGAAAGAGTAAAGGGGGTAAAGGCAAGAAATAAATGCAGGACCCATAATTAGCATGCCGTGGCAACTAATTAAATGTGGAAAGAAAAGGAAAAAGTGGAATTAAAGATGGCTTAAGCTTGGACCCTGGGTAATTACAAAAAACAATGATGCCATTAGCAGGATTAAGGATATCAGGGGAGGGGACAGTTTTTATTTAATGAGGGCTCTAAGCCTTCAGAACTCTGCTCTCATGTCACCCCCTCAATGTAAGCTTTTCTCTGACATCCTCAGGTCCATTTTACAGTATTTTATATCTCAACAACAATGATGATAACGATGATTACAATGATAGCTAACATTTTTAAAATGCAGACTGAGTGTCAAGAAGGTACTAGGTTCCTTTTACTCCTCAGAATAACCATATGAAGTCAGTACTATTATTAACCCCTTTTACAGGTGAGGAAACTGGGGGTTACTGAGTTTTAAGGTTACAGATATTAAATGGCAGATCAAGATTGGAACCAAGGTTGTGCAGAGACACAGCACCCTGACCAGAGGCAGAACAGTGCAATACATAAGGGTACAGGAAATACCGACAAACTAACTGGGTTATCCTGACCTGCCATTTATTAGCTAAGTGACTTCGGGCAAATTTTTGTGCCTCAGTTTTACCATTACCATATCAACTGTTACATGGGAATAATAATAATATTTATCTCCCAATAATAGTTGTGAGGATTAGATGAGATCATATTCATAAAGCACTTAGAAAAGTGCATGGTTCATAGTAAATATTAATCATTGCATTCACACCTCTCTGTTCTCTATCTACAATATCTATCTATCTCTGTCTCTCTCAATTATTAGAACTTCCTTTCTCACTGAAATGTGAGGTCCTTTAAGATAGGAAATGTGTTTCATTTTCTCAGCCCCAGCACCTCGGACCACGTCTGCCACACATGAGGGCCTCAGCAAGCATCTGTTGCATGAATGACATTATTCAGGCAGCTTGAAACTCTATCTCTGAGCCTTGGAGAAGAGAGGTGGATGGAAAAATAGGTATGAGTCCCACACAGAGACATTTACGCCTGACAAGAGGCAGGACTACTGAGGAAGAGATCACAGAAGGAACAGCAATAGAACGCTGGAGAAAGACTGAGGGCAGGAGATTATAAAGGAGACAGAAAGGGAGCTCTGGAGGATATCCCTTCCAGGAAGCCATGAGAAAAAGAGAGTTCCAGGGAATTAAGCCGGGTCCAGAAGAAAGGGCGTCTTAAAGGTAGAGTATGAAAAACGTGTGGTTAGCATGCAGCTGACTCTGAGGTTTAAAAAAATGGTTTGTTTGTGTGTGTGGTTTTTTTTTTAGACTCAGAGAAAGGAAATGACGATCATTGCCTAACAGTTTTCTAAAACTTGACAGGCTTTCAAATGTGGGTCTCCACCTTGCTGGGAAAGTTGAGAGAGCAAGGGAGCATTTAAGATCACCAGTCACAGGCGGAAGTATCTGGGGCTCTCCAAGGTGCTACTTCTCAACGAAACCATAATGCGGCCAAATTCTCTTTTCATTCGCAACGTGAACTAGAAAAATCAAATAAAATGTGTTTTTGCCCTTCCTTATTTCGTTTAGGTTGGTGAAGCAGGATGGATGATATTATTGTCAGGCAGACAAAATTATCAGCATCAGGTTTTTATCTGCAATGTCTCCCTCATTACACCATTGAATCTCAGTAGGGTTCCACCACCCACGGAGATTGGATAACCGGTTTTCCGAGTTTTTCCTGAAACAGTTTGAGTTTTTCCTGATACAGTTTTGGTTATGACAAACGACTTGGGATCCCTACTCCCCTTTAAAAAGTCAAGAAAAATGAATCAAGGTCAATATTTGAGAAACGCGCTTTTTACAAAAACGGGTAGGCATCGGTTGTGCGTTTAAAAAAAAAAAAAAGTTGTTCTTTAAAAATTTTTTGAGGAATAGAACACCCTTATGTGGACAAATGGATCCGCAGGAATCAACCAAACATGATACAAATCACCATACAAATGGTTTTAGGGATTTTTTCCTATTGTTAATTGGGGAAAAGCAGACCCTGTCCAGTTGCTGGAGGGATTAAACCAAGTACCTTTTTAAAGGGGAGTTTTCCACAGGTAAGTGACGAGCCCTGTGCAGGGCTCTACTGCAGCATCTCGTACCTTTCACAAGTCGCTCCGCACTCTAGGGTTCATGTTTTCTTTTCTGTAAACTAAGGAGCAAAGTGTGTGTGAGAGCTGAATGAACTTTCAAGCTCCCCTCCAGCTCTCGGGTCTTTTCATAATGATTTCTCCCCTTCCTTCATGCTACTTCCCTCGAGGAGAAAAAGTGGTGAATTGATTCTTTGAATATGAAAATAAAGAAAACAGACAGCTTTGCCTGGAGGACAAGTGTTAGAGAAAAGAGATTCTGAAGGGTTCGGGCACTTGCACTGCCAGCCCCACCCACCCATCCACCACCGCCGGGAGCTTCGGCAGGGAAAACAAGATGGCGTGACTACACTACAGCAGCTGACGAAAGCCGCACCCTATTGGTCGACTTCAATGAGGTCATCTTAGGGGCGGGGTCCGGCAGCGGCGCGGGGGCGTGGCTTTGCTGACGCACACACGTCAGGGCGCTGCAGCCCCGAGCTGGGGAGACTGCGGGTTCGGTCTGCCGCGACTGCTGTGGTAGTGGCCCCACTGGCGGCTGGAGGTGAGCGGGGGTGTAGGTACAGCGCGGCAGGAAGCGGCCTCCCAGGGGCACAGGAAATCCTTCTAACAGCCCCCTCCCTTGTCAGAGGAATTGGCAGGGATCTTAGGTCTCTGAAAGGAAATGTGGGTTCACCCCCTCTTTGGGTACCCCTCTTGTGGACAGAAGAACCGGAGGTTCACCCCCCTTTAGAGGCTATGATCCCTTCCCCCGTTTAAGGGATATGCGGAGGAACTGAAGGATATTCGGCTGTCCGAAGAATTTAGGGGAGCTTCTTAAAGGGGGTCCCAGTTTGAGGATTTTCCCCTTTGAGCCCCTGTTCCAGGAGGTAGGTGTGCCTGGGCTCACTGGGTAGACACGAAATGAAGCAGGTGAATCTAAAGCCCTCGTTAGGAGGTGAGGACTGGGTGACAGGCAGTGCGCGGGGACGCTTTATTTGGATTCATCTGCTGCAGAATTACTGTTTCTTCATATTTCGTTTGGTGACACCCCCACCCCATCGCCGAATCGCTTTGTCCTGTTTGGTTTTCTGTTTGGCTCCAGTCGGAGACATGTTCTAGGGAGACTTGTAATCGTTAAAAAACAGGAGGGAGGCAACTCATTGTGGGCCGTCATTGTTGGCAGCCCCTGAACTATGCTGATCAAGCATAATTTTATGTGTTTAGAGATTGTGGAATCTACCCCATAATTGAGGGGCGATGTGTGTTGGGGAGTGGGAACAGCTATTTTGGATGATTCAGGCATAGACATTCACAAAGTCAAGCTACATAATCTCTTGAGAAATCCTTGCTTATGTCATCTGAGTGTGTTGCTGTTGCCTTGAACATCAAATGCACAAAGGTTTTGTCATTCAAATGTCTCAAGATGTCTCCCAACCTTCCCGAAGAATAATTCTCCCTTTGATGCCAGTTTTACCTAACATTATGGATGCCGCTCATGATACTAAAAATACTGTACGTTTTGCTGAGTTTAGAGGGTACAGCCTGTGCCTCACAATAGCTGATTGAGAATAAATAATTGCAGTTTCAGGACCACTGATAGCGCAAATTGTCTTTCTTACCTGGCAGCGATTAGACAGCCCTAAAATGGAACCTTTATTGACTCATGTATGAGACGCTTTAACAGATGGAACAATGTAATTAATCTTGAAGGTGGGGATAAGAAACAGTAAGCTTCAGAGGTGGAAAGCTTATTCTCTGTGGCTTGATAAAACTGCTTTGTCATTATCAGTGTATTCCTGTTATGCTTGACTTGAAATTGAGCTTAATATGCAAGCCAGTTCCTTTTTATTTTTTTAAGATAATGATTTTGTATTTAGATTCTTTAGAGAGAAAATGGTGCTTCCTGGGGAATTTGGAAGGTTAAACTCTTTAAGGTAGTTGTAGCTTTAGGGTGATGCTAGGACTTGGGCTGTTAGAAATGGACAGCAAAGGGTAGAAAATGAGCGAGGTCTCTTCTGTTTCCTGACACAAATGGAAAACAACATAGAATAGTGTGAATGTCACTGCTTCATAATACTGTGTCCATGGTATTAAAAAGCTGTTGGGGAGTCCCAGTTCCTGTTTTTAATCTGGATACATTCTTATGTATTGAGATGTCCCAAAATATTGTCATTTGATCCTGATGTTGACTGCAAAGGAAGTGACTTTTCATCAGGCACTCTGTGGAAGAGGATTCAGTAACAGCCTCAGCAATTTCTCCTTTCCATCTTTAAGCAGGATGTTAAAGCAGTTGCTAAAGACCTGTCAGCATGAGCTGGAAGACATGAAATGCAAAACGGAAGAGACTTGCTGGGTTGTTGTTTGCTCTTAGCCCTCTTAGTAATTTCCAAGGTCATGTCATTTTCTCTTTTTGCCTTAGGTTGGACAGAAATCCAGGTACTCAGTTGATGTACTTTTGGGCGCCATGGGGGAACTTTTCCGGAGCGAGGAGATGACGTTGGCCCAGCTTTTTCTACAGTCAGAAGCTGCTTATTGTTGCGTCAGTGAATTAGGAGAACTTGGAAAGGTTCAGTTTCGTGATGTAAGTAATTGTGGGGTTGCTTCTTGCTTACCACTGAACTCTTTTTTTCTTCTTATGGCCAATGAATTGCCTTATGATGAATGTTTTGCTTTTTATTTGCAAAAATAAGATTATAGCACAACTTACTGTTGGTACAGTTTTTTGAGGTGTCTTTCTAGAGGTGAGAATGTCATGTGCCAACCCTTTCATATTTTTACTGGCCCCCTCTTTGAGAATAATCCTAAGCATTCTCAAGGTAATTGCTTGGGATGCAGGTGGAGGACACGAAACTAATCTGTTCAAAGCTTGCACTTTATTTTTGGGCTCCTTAACACCCATAGCAGGGTATTAAATTTTTTTCATAGCTCTTCCATGCATTAAGGACATATTTATTACAAGATCCAAAACAGATGTGTAGTATATAAGTAAACATATACTGAATACCCATTATTCTGAAGCATCATGCTGGGAAGTTGGAGAAGACATGAAAAGGAAATGGACAGTCTGAGAGTCTAAAAATGTACGCCCTGTAGGGCTAACAGTCATCAATATATGCTGCTGAAAGGAGGGGGAGTTAACAGTCCCCCATTAGACTATCCCAAAGCTCCATGTACCTCTCATTGACAACATTCGTTAGAGTCGGGTTTTACATCCATCAAGGTGAGGAGTTGATTGAAGTCTCTCTCCTCTACTATGGTTTAAGTAGCATGAGGACAGACATATTCAGTATCTTATCCTTAGTGGCCACATAAAAGATACTCAATCAGTATTTGCTGGAATGAATGGATGGATGAAAGAGGAGTGGTCAGGAAAGTGTGAGACCCATCAACGTTGGCTTTCTGGAATTTACAAGCTTTCAGGAAGTTCTCAGTATGAGCTGAAACTGCACAAGTAGAACCCAGTGACATAGTCTTATTCCTCATTCTCTTTGAACCTTTTTATACCATCTCTCTCAGAGTGTTCTACTTCACTAGGGTTCCTCCTCCTACCCTTCTGAGACTGCCTTTATTTCTTCCACCAGCTCCACCCGTGCCTTCGGAGTCAGTGTTCCCTAAACTCTCCCCATCACGCCCACACCTTCCATTGTCAGTAGTTTGTTTATTTGTTTGTTTTTGGTAAGCTCATCTATTCTCAAATTTTCCATGTTTATTCAGTGAGTCCCAAATCCATATTTCTGGCCCTGACCTCCCAAGCACCTTCTCTGAATTTACACTCTCTAGGACTGTTGTCGTCTCTGCTTTTAAAGCTAGAATGTCTAAATCCCAACACCTTACCTTTTCACGAACTATTTTTTTCCTCCTGACTTCCTGAACTTGAGTTCATGCATTGATATTCTTCCAGTTTTCTAGACTTGAAACCTAAATCAAATAAGTCATCCCTAATTTGCAATCTTTCATCTGATCCTATAGTGTCTCCCTTTATAATAGCCTTTCTGTCCATTCAGCATTCTAAACTTTTACTTACAATATACTTCAATCATACAAAAAAATTATAGGGACTAATATAATGAATAACTATGTTTGTACTATCTGCTTAAGAGATAAACCTTGCACATATAATTGAAAGGCCCCTTCCATTCATTTCTCTCTCCTTCTCCTCAGTGGTAACTTTCTATGGTGACTTTTGCTTTTGTCATTCCCATATGTTTATATTTTTTTACTTTTGTATGTATGTATCACTAAATAATATATAGTATTACTTTGTATGTATCCTTCAGCAGGTACTTTTTAAATTTAACACTTGTGAGATTTGATCATACATACAGGTTGATACCTGTAGCTAGTTCTTCTATTTAAATTGCTATATAGTTATTTTAAGAATATACAGTTTATCATTTTTTCCTTCTGATGAACATTTAGGTTGATTGCAGTTCTTTGCTATTACAATGTTGCAATGAAGACTCTTGTCTATGTTTCCTGATAGACATCCTTGATAGTTTCTCCAGAGCAGTGGTTCTCAAAGGTTTTGGTCTAAAGACTTCTTTAAACTCTAAAAAAAAAAAAAGTGATCCCTAAAGGGCTTTTGTGTGAGTTATAGCTATTCATAATTACTGACTTGGAAATTAAAACTGAGAAATGTTTAAAATATTTATTAAATCATTTAAAAATTATAATAAAAACTCACTATATGTTATCATGATATATTTGTAAAAAATAGCTATATTTTAAAAATAGTGAGAAGAGTGGTATTGCCTTTACATTTTTAAAAATCTTTTAGTATCTGAATTAATAGAAGGTGGTTGGATTCTCTTTCGCTTCTGCAGTCAGTCTGCTGTGATAAATATCATAAGACTCTGAGATACGTCACTGAACACTCGTGAGACAATGAGAATGAAAAAGGCAAAAGATGTCTTAGTGTTCCTGTGAAAATGGTATCGATCACACGGGCCTGCTGCTACTCTTGGGAATATAACTAGGCTGGGCATTGCTGAGTACGGTGTGTGTCTCTGGCTGTGAGATGTCAGAGTGCGCTTCCCGGTGCGTGTATCTCTTCATGCTCCCGTGGCACCATTCCACAATTGTGTCAACACTCCTGTGCTCAGACTTGCAGAAATTTATGAACCCTGTGGGTGTTAGGTGGTATCTTATTGTTTCAAGTTGCATTTTCTAGATTATTACCTTTGATATCGTTTTATCTGTTTATTGGACATAATAGGCTTCACTTTCCATGGGTGCCTGTCCATATCATCTGCCTGTCTGCTGCTGAGTTTGCTTGGCTTTTGCTTGTTAACTTTTAGGATTTGTAGAAGTTCTTCATATCTTCTGGAAGCTAATCTTTTTCTATGCCTTTACGGATAAATTCTTCTAGGCTGTCACTTGTCTTTTCCCTTTATTTATAGTGTATTTTGTCATACATGAAGTTTATTTTTCTTTCTTGCTTATTGGTATTTTTTTCCTAAATATTTTATTTTCAAAAATTTCAAGGCTGACTACCTTATGGAGATTCACTAGTTGTTAACATTTTGTCACATTTGATATAATCTTTTTTACTGCATCATTAGAGACAGTAAGCTGTTCCTTCCTTTCAAATCCTTATCCTTTTCTTTCTTTTTCCTCATTTCACCATACGTATTGCGACCCTCAGTAACATGTTGAAGAAGAACAGCAAGCTAATACTGGTTAGGATTGTGTTTAGCTGTGAGTAACTGAAAACCCAAAGGATAGGGGTGTACTTTTCTCATGTAACATGAAGCCCGGCCCCACACTGTCACCGGTGTCCTAAGATCATTCTGTATCTCTGTGTGACCATCCTGGAACGCTTGGCTTTTGTACTTACAGATAAGCACCACTCCCCCAGGCACTTTGCTGAAGGGAGTGCCAGGAGGAAGGGGAAGTACTATATAGGGAGAAAAAAACTTTCCCAGAAATCCTCAGCACACATTTCTAATTTATTATTGGCACCAAGATTATGGCATACACTAGCTGCAAGGGAATCTGGGGAGTACGGTTTTTCAATTGAGCAGTTGCTACATTGAACAAAATTGGGATTTTTGTTACTGAGGAAATAGGGCAGAATGCTATGTACTGTATCAGTGATATGGCATCCTTGTCTTGCTCCTGACCCTAAGGGGGGTTTTTTAATGTTTCACAATGTAATTAAGATATTTACTCTTACATTTTTCGAAAATTCTGTTCATTAGATTATGCAGATTCGATTTGTGATTTTCTGAAGTTATTGTTACAAATGGTTGTAGAGTTTCATTGAATGCCTTTTCATCGATTGAGGTTACCTTGTTTTTTCTTTAATCTATTCATCTGGTGAATTACATATTCAGATTGTTTTTCTACTATTTTTAACAGCTTTGCTGAGATATAATTCACATACCATATAATTTGTTCATTTAAAGTTACAATTCAGTGATATATAGTATATTCACAGAATTGTACTAGCATTACCACATTCAATTTTAGAACATTTTCATTACTTCAAGAAACCGTGTACCCCTTAACAATCACTCCCCGCAACCCCTGGCAACCACTAATACACTTCCTGTTTCTGTAGATTTGCTTATTCTGGACGTTTCACGTGAATGGAATCATACACTGTGTCTTTTCTAACTGGCTTCTTTCACTTAGCATAATGTTTTCAAGGTTCTTCTGTGTCATAATATGTATCTGTGCTTTCCTGTCTTTTTGCATCTTTTTTTAAATATGAAAATATGCAACAGACTAAAATGATTGGTTTCAATATAAGAAATAGTTGGTATCTTCTATCTTCTCTGCAAAAGATCTTACTCTGGGTTTAGAGAGACAGTTGAGAAGACATGTTTCCTTACCCAACTTGTTCACTATCTTTTGTGTTCCCTCATCTATTCCTGCTCTTTGTCATACTCATTCCTACTCTTCAGTCCCTTACTGTCTAACACAAACATAATGACAATTTACATTTTTAATAGATGCTATGTTAAGCATTTTGCATTATTATGCAGGCATTTCTCATAACAACCCTGCAAAATAGAACCTACTTTTAATTAGTGGAACCTACCATTCTCATCTTGCAGATCAGGAACCTGTGGCATAGATGAAAATAACTACCACAAGAACACAAATATTAGTACCCAGGATTATCTGATTCCACTGCCTGTGTTCTTTTGAACTGAGATATACAAAAAATGTCACCCTTTTACAGTGTACAATTCAGTGGCTTTTTTGTGCATTTACAAGGTTGTGCAACTGTCATCACTATCTAGTTCCAGGACATTTCATCGCCCCCAAAAGAAACACTGTCCCCATTAGCAGTCACTCCTCTTCCCCCGGCCCTTGGCAGCCACTTAATCTATCTTTCTCTGTGGATTTTCTTATACTGGACATTAGACAGAGAAGGGCAAAAGTAGGCTAACAATCGTGAGTACGAGAAACAGAGAGTTTATTCTTATATTATCATTTAGTACATATTGTATTATTTTCCACGCAAATAGCTGTAAGCCTATTTTGCCTCACCCTGTATATAAATGGAATCATACAATATGTAGTCCTATGACTGGCTCCTTTTACCCAGCGTATTGTTTTCAGGGTTCATTCATGTTGTAGCATGTATTATTAGTACAACATTGCTTTTTATATATCAATATCCCTTTCTATGTATATACCACCTTTTATTTATTCATTCATCAGTTAATGAACATATTTGGGGTGTTTCTACTTTTTTGGCTATTGTGAATAATGCTGCTGTAAATATTGTGTTCAAGTATTTGAGTACCTATTTTCACTTCTTTTGGATAGATGAGTATACCTAGGAGTGGAAGTGCTGGACCATATAACTCCATGTTTAACTTTTTGAGGACCCCCCAGACTGCTTTCCACAGCAGCCACACCGTTTCATGTTCCCACCAGCAATGTGCGAGGGTTCCGATTTCTTCGCATCCTCAGCAGCACGTGTTATTTTCCATGAGAGAGGAATTGTAGCCATCCTAGTGGATGCGGGGCAGCCTCTCACAGTGGTTTTGATTTGCATTTGCCTGGTGGCTAATGATGGGGAGCATTTTTTCATATGCTTATCAGTCACTTGTATAGATTTTTTAAAAACATAAAATCAAGCTTGCAAGCCTGGGATAAACTAAGCGGGTTATGAGGTGTATTTCAAAAAAATTTTAGGGTTCAGTTTTCTAATATTTTATTAGGATTTTAAAATTATTTATAAGTGATTTGGCCTATAGTTATCCTTTCTCAAACTATTCTTATCTCATTTTGGTATCAGGGTTTTACAGGCCAACCTCACTTATTAGTTGAGGAGTGTTCCTTCATTTTTCTCCTCTTTGGATTAATTTTTCTAAGACTTGGGCTCTTCTAGTCTTTGAATGATTAATAGAACCTATCTTTAAACCTTATAGTCCTGGTGTTTTCAGATTATAGATTTACTCTTTTTTTTTAAGTTAGTTTTAGTATTTACATTTTTCTAGAAAATTATCCATTTATGATCTCAACTCTCTGAGATATTATTGGCATAAAGCTGATTTTAGTATTATATTTTAAAAATCTTTTTTGTGTACAGTAGCCTCTTTTATTCTTATATTTATTTCTGCCTCCTCTCAGTCTCATAAACATTTTGGCCATTTTGTCTTTTCAAATAACCAGCTATTTATAAAAAATAATAATAATAATAATATACTAAGAAAAAATAACCAGCTTTTGATCTGGGATATCTTCTCTAGGACTTTGTTTTGTTTGGGGCTTTCACCCATTTCTGCTTTTTTGTTGTTTTCTCCTTCCTATTATCTTTTTCTAACATCTTGAATTTGAACATTTAGTACATTAGTTTTTAGTCTTTTCCGTTATATGCAATTAAGGCTATAAATTTCCCTTTAAGTTCCACTTTAGCTGCATCCTACAAAGTTTGATCTTAAGCATTTTCATGATCATTTCATAACTTATGTAAACTGTTTAATATATATCTGTTATTAAACACTAATTTCTTCTTACTATTATTAAAATCTTTTATAGGGAATTATTACAATCATTCACAAATAAATCCTTAAACATATATAAGCTGTAATTTTGTGATGGAAGCATTATTCTAATGAATGTTAAGGACAAGAGTTAACAGAAATGGCTCTTTCTGCCCTGATGGATGTGGCTCATTGGTTGAGCATTGTTTCGCAAAGTGAAAGGTCACTCAGTTTGATATCCGTTCAGGGCACATGCCTGGGGTGCACGTTTGGTCCCTGGTCAGGGCACATATGGAAGGCAACCAGTTGATGTTTCTCTCTCACATTGATGTTTATGTTTCTTCCTCACTTCCTCCCCCACCCCCTTTCTCTCTAAAATCAATAAATATTTACTTGGTGGAGATTAAGATGATAATTTTTTTTTTAATTAAAATTACTTGTGATGTGTGAATGAGTGAACCAGCTTGTCACTTAGAAGATGAAAACCCTGGAACAGGAGAAATGTGCCTCCTGTTTCTTCTGATTGGGAAGAAGGAGAGAAGGAAACCTAGGCAGAGCTTCTATTGCATTAGTGGTCCAGACTTTTGGTGGTGCATTGAGGAGGGGGACTCACTGAGACCTTTGGCCTGGGAAGAGCATTTTGTACTTTGCCTAATTTTCCTCCATTCCAATATGAAGCAGCAGCGAGGAAGGGGTTTCATCTTTAGATGGTGCAACTGGCCCCAAAGTGGATCAGTGTGTTTGTTGCACATACCCTTTTGCTTTGCAGGATGTGTTGCTTGTGAAACAGAGGAAATAGATGCAGCGTTTCAATATTTGGTATTGTGCTCTTATTTTGCAGTTAAATCCAGATGTGAATGTCTTCCAACGGAAATTTGTGAATGAAGTTAGAAGATGTGAAGAAATGGATCGAAAGCTTCGTATGTGCATCTTGGTCTTGTATTATGTTCCTGTAAAGAGTCATTTGTCCTAAATTAGAGATACTAGTCCTCTTAATAAAGGAAAGCAATAGTATAGGAGAAAAAGAAAGGAGGAAAAATCTTGTGATCCTGATGTTAAGATGAACTTCTAGTATATAGTAGGTTTTGTGGTGTTTGGGGTAGGTGGTGCTTAATGGAAACCTTGTTTGAGGTAACAAGGCTGTAAGCTGAAAACACTGGTTATTTTGTGTGTGTGTGTGTGGGAAGGGTTTTATAGTAGAATTACATTATAGAATTCTGAGAGATGGAACCCAGACCACCATCAATTTTACATGTCAGCCTAGCCACTTTTTAATCTGAGCTATTTATGTAGAAGGAAAAAACTAACAGTTATTATGGTCCTATTGAGAGGGTGTTCATATACTTTATTTCATTCATTTCCCACGACATTCCTTCAAGATAGGTGGTAACCACATTTAATAAATGAGGAAACCAAAAATCAGAGAGATTAAGTGACTTGGACCAATAATGTAAGTGGTCATGATGGAATCGGTATTTGAGTCCATGTTGTTTCGTCTGGCTCTAAAAACCAAGATGTTGCTATTACTCTATGCCACCTCTCCCTTAGCCAGTAGGTGAATTTGGTCTCCATCCTAAAAAAAAAAACTCAGTAGTTGTCACCTGAAACACTTTTCTGGTGTTTTGGGATCTTATTCTATATCTTGTTCTTTATTTTGTTTCAGCAAACATACAACTGTTGTTAAATGTAATGAAACCCTTTCACGTGGAGTTGTCTACTAGTGTGTCAATTGTCAAATAGTCTATTGAATTGGCTCTTCTGTAGCTCTGCTTTGCTGGCAGTACCTGTGACCAGAACCATCATTCTCTGGGGTAGCAGCCAGCCAGGGTGCAGGACTAAAGCAGATGTGGACCAGTTCGAAGATCAGAAGAGGGAAAGAAGGCAGTTATGAGACGATAGCCCCCTTTGGAGTAACTGTGCTTTAGAGGGTGTGAGGTAGGAGAGAGAGGAATGTAGAGAAAAAAGGATTTACATGTTCTGCTTCTTTTTATGTAAAAGTATCTTTCTTAGAATGATGTTCTTTTTTGCCAGGTTTGGCATCTTTTTTTTTTTTTTTCCTCAAATATTGGCAATACCAGGCATGTGCTATACATGAATGTTTTGCTTCTGTCATTTTAGGATTTGTTGAGAAAGAGATAAGAAAAGCTAATATTCCAATTATGGACACTGGTGAAAATCCAGAGGTGCCCTTCCCCCGGGACATGATTGACTTAGAGGTAAACAGTTCTGGAGAAGCCAGATAACTTACTTGCTTCTTAAATGTAGAAATTTCTGAGTGGATGGAGAGTAGAGTAATTCTTGCTGTCCTTGTCAGCATTGTCTGTTGATTGGAAATTTCTTGTGGATGGGTTAAAATGAGCTCTCTTTTTATGGCATAGAACAGTATGTTGAACAGTATCATGTGCCACTAAATGTTTATTGGCTTATTGATACCTTATTGGATTAATGTCAGTTTATCTAGTAATTTATTAATCTCATAGACTAAATAAATGACTAGCCAGTAGATTTCAATATTTATTTTATCCATCTGAAGTCCCCTGAGAAATTCAACCACATGTATAAGAGAAGATATAAACAAAGGTGATTTGAAACAAAATTTTTCTTAATGAAAGTTGCCCTGGTAAATAACATATTTGCAGGGAAGATATAACTGTCAGGGTTGCAAGAGTTCTGTTGGATAGATGAATTCCTATCTTTTAGAGCAAGCACACTGAGCTTAGTTTGAGGTAATAATTTGATTACTTTTCTTTTTTTGTAGGCTAATTTTGAGAAGATTGAAAATGAACTGAAGGAAATCAACACAAACCAGGAAGCTCTGAAGAGAAACTTCCTGGAACTAACTGAATTAAAATTTATACTTCGCAAAACTCAGCAGTTTTTTGATGAGGTCAGACTATTGTTTATTTTAGTATTTGAGCAGCTGATATTACAACTGCATAAGTGGGCCATATTTTTATTCCAGTTATTTTTATTTGCTAGTTTGAAAGCAGTACCATTTTCACACCCTGTTTTAGTTGAAGGAATATCAGATTATGTTCCATTTTTCATGCAGTACATAGCCAGACATAGTTTTGTATATTTTTTTATTTTTTTGTAATTTTTCCTCTCAAGATGGGGGAAGGAATCCTAAAGTAGTTGTATAAACATAGTTAGTTGAAATGTTTATATTATATATTAAGGTAAGTAAATGTTTAAGGTTAAAATTGAAGCAACAAGATACATTTGATTATATGTAAAAATATAACAAAAATTTAATCTCCAAAACTTTTGTCACCAAATTTTGATTTTATTCTCTATGTTTGCCCATCAATCTTTGAGCACACTTTTAACTGCTTTAGATAGCACATGTAACACTTTAATTTTTAAGTGTTTTTTTAATACTATATGGAAATGTTGGTAGGATGCTTGTTTAGAAATCCTGGATTCTCACATAAAACTCAACTGCAATACCACACAGGGGAAAACGTTAATAAGTTCCTGGATTAAAAATGTAGGTGACTAAATTGCCAGATGACAGGCTTCCTCCTTCTCATTAAACTTGGGAAGGAGTCTTAGCTTTCAACCTGGATGTGCTTTTTCTGATGGCTCAAAATATGGGTAATTCTCTACCTCACAGGTGTCTTTGCCACCCAATTAGCAGCATCAGACACTTCAGAAATTGTTCTAGTCACTGTTCATTGTGCCTTCCCATGCAGTTCTTTTATTTCCCCTTGCTAAAAAAAAAAAAAAAAAAAAAAGTCTGTGTAGGGCAAAACTTTTCAAAAATAGAGGGCCTGTTTTAGTTAGCAGCTGCTCTGTTCTCAGTTTACTTTTAATTTCTGTCTTTAGAGGAAAGAACAGCTCCCTATATAGTTCTTAGACTAGAGCAGCATGTCTTCAACCAGCAGCAGCAGCAGCCTTACCTGCAACCTTGTCAGAGTGCAAATCCTCACCCCACCCCAGACTTCTGTCTGGAGCTCCGAGGGTGGGGCTCAGCAGTCTGTTTTCACAAGACGACCCGAGACGCACTAGTTTGAGAACCTCTGTGGTAGAAAGAGCCAAAAATGTGATACATTCCTCAATAACTGAGGATTTAACTTAGAGAAGCTGTGTTAATTAAAAAGACCTGCTGGGGCAAGGGAAAGGGGGAAAGGTCTTATGAATTTAATTGCCTGGTCCTTCCAAGAATCAGAATCTGACTATATGTTCTAAGAGATGTTTGCTGTGAATATTCAGCCTGCTCACTGAGTTGAGAACTTAGAGACTGATGGTAACTTCTTTCACCAGTCCCCAATTATTGTCACATTAGAGGGTGTGGGACAGTGTGATTAACTCTTTACAAGTGTTTCAGGTCTTTTGCAACAGGCATGGCCACTTATGCCATATGGTTTTAATGAACAACTGCTCTGGAATGTCAGTGTGCTCACTGCCTACTTAGTATTTATCTTCATTCCCTGGGGATTTGATGAACACCTACTCTTTGTGAAGCATAAGAGGAGTAATACATGGTCCCCGTGCTCAAGAAATGGATCACTTAGTCATAGCAGGAAGCATCCCAGACACAGTGCCTCCATGTGCTCACAGATGTGCTTTTCTAAATGTGCTCAAGCTGCGGTCCACAGATGCAACGTAAACCTGGCCTCAAGATCAAAGCTTAGCTATTTTTAGTGTCATTTGGGGCTTAATTCGCCCCCTCTTCTTTCTCCCTTTTGATATAGTTTTTTTGTTTACTTCTGAGATGTCGCTGAAAAATATGAAAATGTCTTTGATAACCTCCCAAGTGTAAGGATTGAAATAGGCTTCCTTGTCTAGTTCATTCTAGAAGAAATTCTGAATAAAGATAGACAAATGCACTCCCTTAAAGGAAATAGCTACTTAAACTTTGTTATAATTTTTAAAAAAATAGTAAAAATAAAGTAAGAGGAACCACTTGGAAAGATGACACAAGATTTTAAAGTCCTCAGTCAGGGATTTAGGCACTGCTTTGTGACTGATCCACCTAACGTGAAGTGCCCGTGCTGGGAAGCTGAGCTCTAAGTCTTCATGCCCAGTCTGTGGTGAGTTGCTCTTCACCTCCTAACTAAGCAAGACATTAAAGAAACTCATACACACCCACCCCTCTCTCTTCTGGAAATGCTTTTGAACACGAGGTCTTGGCGATGAGAGGCGTTTCCCTTCCGCCACACTTGTCAGCCTCTCTCATCCCGAGCATCCTCACCGCAGCGCAGGTAGTCTGGCAAGAGCCGCTGGCGTTTTCTCTCCAGTGGCCTTGTCTGCTCTTGCCACTGGCTTGCAGCCTCAGCCAGGTCCCTTTCAAGAGCCCTTGTCCTGCTGTTACTAAACCGCAGCCTCAGGTGCCACTCCCATGTCAGGAGACCAGACCCCACAGAGTGAGTGCGAGCGTACACTTTAAATAAGGCAAAAGGTGAGGGAACTGGAGACCCTCAAATCTTGGAAACATAGGTTTTTCATGAGATTTTCTTCCATGCCTGAAATCAAAAGATTTGCAAATGGCCTAAAACACTACCAATTTCAGAGCCGCCTTTTGGTGAATGTGATGAATAATTTATAACAATGAGGTAGCAGAAAATGCTTAAATCAGAGAATGATTCTTTCCATCTTTTGGTGTAAGGGTTATGATTGGTGGGGGATATAGAAGGGGAAAGGTAAATACATTGAATATTCTTATGATTTAAGATGATTACAAATCCGACTTAGCCATTTCTTATCCATAGCATTTAAAATGACTTGTTAATGATTATCCTTTTCTCAGTCTTCTTGCTTATGAAGACCTGTAAGAGCTGGAGAGATTTCTCTGCATCTTTTACCATAAGCACCATAACATATGAGAACGTAAAGAAGACTGGAAAAGTAATGGTTAATGGCATGCAGCTCCCTGCCTTCCTTTCCTTCTGAGTTCTCCATTCATTCATCTGCTTTCTTTATTTTTCTTTTCCATCTGCCATCTCCTTTGGGGCTTGGGTGAATACCTTAGGTGATAAAGTGTAATTTTTTTCTTAATGTTAGCTGGAAATAAAAGTGTTTGCTCTCGGTGATTAACATAGCTTGAACTGAATGCGCTGCTTATACTTAAGAATAGAACTAGAACTACTAAAGCTCTGCTACTTCCTTTTTCAGGGCCTGGTTTCAGTGTTCTGATTGGGTGGGGGGTAAACTAGAGGGCATAGCAAGTAATTAGAGGAACAGTGGCAGTGTTGTTACTGTTACTAGAGAACCCAGATTGGGATTTCGATACTCAAAGACATGGTTTAGGGATTGCTTTAAAGGCCCCCAGTTAGTGGTTCTGGTCATCCTATTTTCTCATCAGGCATGATTATTTTAATTTTTTTTTTTTTAATCTTCACTCAAGGACATTTTTTCATTGCTTTTAGAGACAGAGGGTGGGAGAGAGAAACATCAATTGGTTGTCTCCTGTATGCGCCCAGACTGGGGATCAAACCCACAACCTAGGTATGTGCCCTGACCAGGAATCTAACCACAACCTTTCAGTTATGGGATGATGCTCCAACCAACTGAGCCACACTGGCCAGGGCAGGCATGATTATTTTATTTAAAAGTTTTTAACTTTCTGCTCTAAGATTTAGGATTCTTAGGTATGAAGTAGTGAAATTATGAGTTAGAATATTATTGCAGGTTTCTAACCAAAAGAGTCCCAGATAACAGTCTTTGGGGTAATCGAATTGCTGTTGCATCATTTGTCCCCTTTAGAGCGTGTGTTTGCTCTGCATCTGATCTCTAGGGTTCACTTAAACCCAGTCTTATGGACCGCACAGGGAAGTAGGCGGGAGTCTTGTGAGTAGCAGGCAGTTTCACTGGTTTTTGCCAAGGGAGGTCCCAAGAGCAAGTTGAAATGTGGTAATCGTCTGGATCCTCAAAATGTATTGCATGTGGCTTATAGTCGTCTGATTTGACCTCTAGTAGAAACAAAAAGAGCCCCTGAGTCTTCCATTTGACAGCACATGGTAACCTGTGCTCCCATTGCCCATCTTAAGCTTTTCCAAAGCTCCTGACAGTGTTTCCCTGCTCTTCTGACAAGCTTAGTGTTGCCCTTCCTTTTCCTTTTTTTTCCTCTTTTTTTTTTTTTTTGGACCAAAGTTGATCCTGTTTAGATTTACTTCCTAAAACAATTGTTTTCACCTTTTAAGGCTTTCAGACTTATATCTGAGGTGCCCACAAGGTGGTTTTTGTTCATGAGTTGATAGGAATAGAATCCTAAAATTTGGAATGGAAATGATGGAGAAAAATTTTCTTGATTTTTTTTTTTTTTGCATTAATTTTGCTCTCCACGGAGAAGATTGTTCTGGCTTACTTTTAGTCCTTGGTCAACCAAGAAGTGCATGGATATTGAAGTTGGAGAGATCAGGCAGTGGGGGCGTCAGTTGGCCTTTACTTTTTAGGGCCGCCTCTCCTTCCTCATGGAGGCAAAAAGTGGTAGGCTGTGTGGCACAGAGAAGGGTTAAGAAATACAGACCAAGCACATCTGAGAAGGCCCCTCTGCTCCTTCATTTCATTGTATAAACTGTCATGGTGGAAATCATTTTAAATCTAAACAGTTAAACCAGCCTACCCACTCCATACTGGCATAATATTTGTTCCTCTCTTTGCGTCAACTTGGTTTAGATTATTGGACTAAACTATGTTCTCAAGAACCCTTCAACTGTAAAGCTTACATGAACTTTTTAATATTGCTAGATTCCTGCTCAGAAACTAAGACATTCAGATATGTTTTCACTTTTTCTTCCTTCTATGGATGCAGTGGAGGCCCAGGCCTATCCAGCTATTCTGCTTCTTATCCTTTTGGAGAAAGAAATACTCTTTAACTCTCATGGTTTGGATCATTGTATACAGTGGCCATGCTGAAAGTTCTCATATTTTGCATTTTTAAGAACACAGAAAATCTAGATACCCTGAGATACTTCTTCTGCCTTTCTTCAAATCACGCACAGTGATGATGCTTTGCTTTCTTCCCTGGAAAGAGAGTCTGCATCTTTCACATTCTCACACAGGGAAAACTCTAGTTTGTAACTGCCTGGAAATTTGATATTGAGAGTATCTGCTGAGCTGCCTTGTTTTTGCTCAAAAGGAAGAAACACTTCAGCTGCTATCCACATGAAAAGGTATTTCCTGGTACTTTCATGGCTCCTTTAGAAAAGTATAAGAGAAAAAATGGCTTCCACCAAGTAAGATTTATACATGTCAGCATCATTTAATGTTGTTTTCTTTTTAATTTTTTATTTCTTAAACCATTTCCCTGGTTGCTTTACTGGGTCAATTATGCTTTCTTTATCTCTTGTTTCTTTCCTTTGTCTTCTTTCCATATTCTTCTTATATTCTTTTTGTGGGTATGTCTTCTCTTTTGGTGGTTTGTTTTTCATCTTTATTTCCTGAACTTATCTCCTGGTTCCTCGTTCCCTGCATGCCACTAACTATTTTCATTAGATATTAATTGATTTGTGAATTCAGGCTGAATTGCATCATCAGCAGATGGCGGATCCAGACCTGTTGGAAGAGTCCTCATCCCTCTTGGAGCCAAGTGAGCTGGGAAGAGGCACACCTTTAAGGCTTGGGTAAGTACCACTTCAACCCTCCGGGGTCATGTGAACTTTTGCTGCTCAAAAGAGCAAAAGGCGAGGCCTTCCCTGGCTTCCAGGTGCACTCTCTTCTGAGCCTGTTGAGAGGTGTTCCTAAACCGATTTGGATTCAGGTCCTGAGTTGTGTTTTGGCAACTCTCTTCTGGGACCAGGAATAGAAATTTACCAGTCCTTTTGACGTAACAACGCATAGCCTCACGATTGTCTTTGTCCGTCTCCTCATTTTCCTTCTTTGTCGCAACGCTTTCCATCCCACGGCATGGAACAGATTTCCCAATCTGGCTCTTCTTCCCACAGCTTCGTGGCTGGTGTGATTAACCGGGAGCGCATCCCAACTTTTGAGCGCATGCTTTGGCGGGTGTGCCGGGGGAATGTGTTCCTGCGACAGGCTGAAATCGAGAACCCCCTGGAGGATCCTGTGACTGTAAGACAAGGAAAATCGTGTCTCATGAAGTGGGTCTTGTACAGGGAGCTGAGAGCTGTGACGCAGCATGGCGCCCCCGAGTCTGACCCTCCCTCAGAGGGGGAGGCCTTTATGCTTGCCCCTGCTTTGAGGGGCTGCTCTTTTCCTCCTACCTTCCATGACATATACGTGCACATTTTAAAGCTATCCCTGTGTATTATTTTGATTGTAAATATGTTTTTTTAACCTTTTTAACCTTCATTAAAAATAACCTCCAGTTATTTTAACCTTTAGCTTTATATGTTTTCTGTTGTTTATCTGGGACCAAAAGCTATCTGGTCCCAAACTGGGCATTTCTAAGCATGGGAACAGACAGAAATGGCTCTCCTCTTTCCTCTGTACTTATGGCATTCAGGCAATATAAGATTTAAAGTGGGCTGCTAAGTAAGTCTAACTTGTACTAAGAGGAGAATCATCTTAGCATCTGTGGCAAACTCCTGGTTAAGCTTAAAAACAAATACAGAAAGTGTTTTGTGACTAGGCAATTACAGGCAAATGCTATCGTAGCAGAGTTTAAGAAATGGGTGAAAGATAGTGGTTAAAGTACAGAATTGCCATATCCTCACAGAATTACTGCTGTTCCTGTATCACCAAGAAAGTAAGTAATTCAAGAAGTTTTCTTCTGGATTAGAAGCCTGAACTCTCAGTTTTGCTTTGGGGCCTAGGGCGACTACGTGCACAAGTCTGTGTTCATCATTTTCTTCCAAGGCGACCAGCTGAAAAACAGAGTCAAGAAAATCTGCGAAGGGTAAGAGAGCTAGCTGCACCTCCCACGAGGGTGCAGCCGCGCTGCCCAGCTCTTCTCAGCCTCAGGCTATAGAATAGTGAAACACCAGCCTTCTGGTTTACCTCGATGTAGTGAATATGCCTGTTAATAACGTTAGGGCTATTTTATACAATTAGAAATGGCCCACATTCAGCTTTTAAAGTGCCATCAAAGCCACAATTCCTTTTCTTGGAAAAAAAGTAACTACGTCTCATGATTTGTAAATGTACTTTGTTCTGGGACAGTGGGTCTGCACACCCGGCAGCGTGCCCGAGGCGCCGCGTGTACCCTGAAGCTTTTCTGAAGTTCTGCCCATAAGATCTTTCTTTTGTGCCATTTTAAAAATATAACTTATATTGCTGGGTTTTGTTTTTTTAGTCTAAGGGAATTTAATAGCTGCAGAGAATGTCAAGATAGTTCAAATGTTATTACTCAATTTATAGGCCACTCCCTGTAAATAATTGTTATTGATCACTGCATCGGTTTGAACTAATCCTGCTTTGGTCCTTCTAGTAAATTAGGGTTACTTTCTGAGGTAATTTAAATTGGATGGGTTAAGAAATTTCCGTGTCTCCAGGCCGTGTCTGTATGTTCCAGGTTCCGGGCCTCCCTCTATCCCTGCCCTGAGACGCCCCAGGAGAGGAAGGAAATGGCCTCTGGAGTTAACACCAGGATTGATGATCTCCAAATGGTACGCAGAGGGCTGAAGGGGATTTGTTTTGTGAAATAGAAGACCAGTCTCCCTCCCTGAAACACTAGCAGATTATCAGTCACCTGCAGCAGCTCAGGGTACCAAAACAAGCCGAGTCCCCTCGGGAACAGGGGATGACTGTTAAAAATAGCACTGATTCCTGGCTGGTGTGGCTCAGTGGATTGAGTGCCGACCTTTGAACCAAAGGGTCACCAGTTCAATTCCCAGTCAGGGCACATGCCTGGGTTGCAGGCCAGGTCCCCAGTGAGGGGCGCTTACGAGGCAGCCATTCACTGATGTTTCCTCCCTCTCCTTCTTCCTCCCTTCCCCTCTTTAAAAAAAGTAAATAAATAAAATCTTCTTAAAAAAATAGCATTAATCATGTTCAAATGAGACAGGAATGCTATGCATCTGAAATTGTGGTTGCTTAGAGTACTCAGTTCTCCTCGTCATGAGTCAGATGCATGCTTCGTTAAGAAAAAATCAAGTAATACAGAAGTATGTACAAGGTCAGTTCCTCCCTCTCACACACACCTTCTGTCTCCAGAGGCAGCCGCTCCCAGCAGCTCGGTGTGTATCCCTCTGGTCACCCCGGATGTTAAGCATACAGTCTAGCCAAAGTGTCCTGGTGTAACTCTTGTACCCAAGAAAGGGACTACGTTAGATTTTTACCAAATCACTGTGTGTGTAGTTTACACACACCATGGTTGCACAGGATTCTAAGGAAGGTGTCATAATTTATGTGTACATGGAAGGAAAACAGTGGCCAGTTGGAACTTTGTTTCCTGTTGAAAGAATATGATGAGTGCCCCTTGGAACACTAATAAACACGCCAGTCCCGAAGTCATTTTGTTCCAGCAGTGGCAGAGTGGTCTGGAATAGGCTGTAGTTCTCATTTCAACTCCCTCATCTTTCCCTCCAACCCCCACTGTATGTGAACCACCAACTTGACCTACTGCCGGTTCCTTCGAGATAAACTTATCTGTTTATCCGAAACTGCTGGTGGGTGATAGGCCATGTTAGTACGCCCTGGGCTCCAGGACTGTCTTACCCCTTCCCAGGCTTATGGGTAACCCAGCTCTATGAGCTGGAACTTTAGAAAAAGGATTGAATGCCAAGGAGTGAGATCTGGGGGTGGGAGACAGGGAAAGAAAAAGGCAAACAGGACATTGCTTGTAAGTTTATTTAGCATCCTTCCAGAAGTTATGATAGTAATTGTGAAACTGTCAACAGCCAGAAGGAGAAAAAGTAGCCTTGTTCCTTTATTCTCAAGTGATTTAAGAGTTTCCCTGGCATGTCATGGCTTTTTTCTTTTTTAAAACACCTCTCTGTGGAAATCACATTCTACCGCCTAAGACCATGTTTCAGGGAGGAGTTACTACTGCTTTTCTGCACTGACTTGAGCTCTGATGGAGACCTGTGCTAAAATGACTAGTGCATACAGCTTTTTCCTCTTCAAAGAGATACAGAGATTTAAAATTGGTTTTCGCACAGAAATGGGAGTGGTGGGTTGCTTGCCCAGGTTTGGCTTAGCCCCTTTCCTGCTATTAACACCTTAACTCTCTGATGATGAGGAAAGCCGCAGAATGTAAAGCGTCCCTGCCCCATTCCCGCACTCCAGTCTTGGCCGTGTAATTCCTCTGAGGGAAGTCTGTACTGGTTCCCAAAGGACCGGCACTGAAGCGGTCCCCGTCCCCAAGCCTGGCAGGAAGATAGAGCTTTGTCTGCCCCATGATGACAGTGGTGCAGGGCAGTCTGAATCCCCTCTAAAGTTTCTGGACCCTCCTGACCCCAGTGTCTCCTGCTATGGGGTCCTTCTTGACACAGGCAGACGCTGGTGTCCAGCTCTGCCTCTCTCCCATAGTGCCCTGAGGCAGGCTGGTGTTCAGGGGACTCTGCGGTGCGCTGTCCTGCAGTGTGGACTTGTAACTTTGTCAACACCTGGGCCTATGACGCTGATTTCTTTGAGTCTGAGTTACAGGCCTCACATGGAAAATCTCCACTCTTTAATGATCCAAGTAAAAGCCAATGGCAACACTGTTGTGTCATAGATTTGATAGTAAGGTTAAATCTGTAGTAAAAAGGTAAAAACCATTTTCTCAGGGTTTCTCTTGTGCATGAGGCTAAGCAAAAATGAATGTTAGTAACTGGAACTCAAATTTCTTATAGTTTCGCCTCCCCGAAAAAAACCCTTGTAGTCAAAGGAAGAAAAAAAAAAGCAGACCCCCAGCAACCCTTCTTAGAAAGTCGCGCCTCTTTGCCATTCATATCCCAAAATTTAAGATCGGTGTTAGAAGGATCCCTCCCATGCTCCTTTCCCTCCCAAAGGTTTTGAATCAAACGGAGGATCACCGCCAGAGGGTTCTGCAGGCAGCTGCTAAGAACATCCGTGTCTGGTTCATCAAAGTGCGGAAGATGAAGGCCATCTACCACACCCTGAACCTGTGCAACATAGATGTGACTCAGAAGTGTCTGATTGCAGAGGTCTGGTGCCCTGTCACTGACCTGGACTCCATCCAGTTTGCACTCAGAAGGGGCACGGTGAGTCCCCCACAGCTAGCAGGGCAGCCTACAGCCAGGAAAAGGGGTACCCATTAACAGTAACATTAATTAATTACATTCTTATAGCATTTTTACTTTCAGAGTTCTTTATTATATTCATCTTGTACTCATCTTGTGTCCTGATAATGCATTTTATATGTGTCCTTTTGTTCCAAATATGTAAATTACAGTTCAAAAAAGATTAAATGACTTAGTCATGTATCCGTGATTCTTCAGGGTAGCTCATGAGCAGAATGTCCATTTCCTGACCCGCATTCCCCGTCTAGTAGACTATGTCTGTAGTATAACCCCGGCAGCTTCACTCCACAGTTAGAACTGCTGCTCTGCGCAGGGCACTGATCTAAGCTGGGATGTGAAATAGAAGACCTCAAGTACCTTGCGATTTACTTGGAGAGGCTGACATGCAAACATACAAGACAGTCTGTGCTAAGAGTGGTGTAAGTGTGTAGAGAGAGCGTGCTAGCTTTTCCAACTAAGATGATTGGACAAAGGCTTCAAAAAGAAGGTCGCATTAGGGCTTTGAAGCATGGGGAAGATGCTGATCAGCAATGATGAGGAGAAAACATGACCAAAGGCAAGAACGGCAGTGAGACCATTCGTGGTTGGACGAGAACAGGAATTAGAATGGGCGAGCTGCAAGACTAGGATGTAGGTTAGAAGCTAACTGAGAAGGGTTTTTAAATACCAGGTTAAAGGATTTAAATTTTATCCCAGAGGGAATAGAGAGGCATTGGAAGTTAGTTAACAGTGAAAGGGCGTGATCAAAGCTGAGTTTTAAAGGAATAACCTGGCTCCGACTGGCGTGGCCCAGTTGGCTGGGCATCATCCTGCAATGTGAAAGCTCGCCAGTTTGATTCCCAGTCAGGGCACATGCCTGGGTCGTGGGCCTGGTCCCCGGTTGGGAGTGTGTGAGAGGCAACCGACCGCTGTTTCTCTCTCACATCGATGTTTCTTTCTCTCTCTTTCTCCCTCCCTTGTCCCTCTCTAAAAATAAATAAATAAAATCTTTCTTTGAAAAAAGAATAACTGTTGCTAGTATCTTGGTTGGGTGGGGAATAGAGAGAGTCCGTAGGTGGGGGTCAGTTAGGAGGTTATTTTAAATACAGAGTAGTAAGTTGTAAGGACCCCTGGGGTAAGAACTGACAACAGAAAGAGAAAATAATAATGAATTTGTGAGACATTCTGAAGGAAGAATCCATTAGGTGTACTCAGTTTCTAGCAACATGTAAGAGAAATACAAAAAGGAAAAAAATGTAAATGTTTATGAGTCATCAAAGCTGGGTGGCCACTACAACAATGGTTCCAGTAATGCAAGTAAAAGTTCAGCAAGAGAAACTTAGAGGAAAGATGTTAAGTTCAGTTTCAATCACATAGCGGGGCTGGACAGAAATCCATGTGAAAATGTCAAGCACATTGTGGGACAGGTTCTCAGTGGCAAAGGCAAATGGAAAAACGTGGGATTCATGAGGGTGGAAAGGCAATGAGACCTCCAAGAGAGGAAATAAGGAAGCTAGAGATAGGACCTGGAGGGCCCCGCAATGTTTTGGGATTGGCAGAGGAGGCGAAGCCAGCGAAGAGACATAAAACGCATGGTTAGTGAGGCGGGGGGACTCCCAAGGAATCAGGATTTTCCCCCGAGCAGAGGAAGGTCTCCAGAGGCCAGCCTGCACAGGGGAGCAAAGTCCCTTGGATCTGGGGACCAGCAGCCACTTTGAGTAAGTGTGCTCTACCAGCCTGTAAGGGATTAGGGGGTTTAGGGCAGGCGGTGAAGGAGGAGTCAGAATGCACTTTCCTTTCTCCACACGCAGGGAGAGGAGGGGACACTGGTGCTGCTAGGAAGGCAGGGACGAGGCTCCCTGTTTCCCTGGGTCACACATTTTAGAATTAAGTGTTTTCTCACAGGGAGGTTTCCTTCCCAACTTAATCGAAATCCTACAGTGTAAATTTTATACCTAGTTTCAGCTTCCCCAAAGACTGTGACAGACTGAGATAATAATTTCCATAAGTTGAAATACATTTTATGTGTGCTGTTCGACGGGTGTTGGTAACTAATGTACGCCTGTGTGACCTCCGCCGCATTCGGGATGACCTCTTTTGGTACATATGCTTCATGTTTCCCAGGAACACAGTGGTTCCACCGTGCCCTCCATTTTGAACAGGATGCAGACAAACCAGACTCCCCCAACCTATAACAAAACAAACAAGTTCACGTATGGCTTTCAGAACATAGTAGATGCTTATGGAATTGGAACTTACCGAGAGATAAATCCAGGTAAAAGAGCTTGAATCGTTTCCCTGTAGCGGTTTTATTTTTTTTGTTATATCTTTCAATGCTTCACTTTAAAAGCTATTGAACAACTGGCTTAAAAATCAAGATATCGTCCTGGCTGGTGTGGCTCAGTGGACTGAGCGCCAGCCTGTGAACCGAGGGGTCCCCAGTTTGAACCCTGGTCGGGGCGCAGGCCTGGGCTGCGGGACAGGTCCTCAGCTGAGGGCGTGAGAGAAGCAACCAATTGATGTGTCTCTTGTACATCAATGTTTCTCTCCCTCTCTTCCCTTCTAAAAATAAATAAATAAAATCTTTTAAAAAAGAAAAAAAAAAACTAAAGATATCAAGACCTCAGCTCTAGTGTGACTCCTGAAAAGAGATGCCCGTTTATCTCCAGGAGGCACCCCTGTTCTCTGGTTTTACAGAACAAGTTGTTTGGAGAACGTTGTTGATTATGAAGCAGAAGTCATACCATAAAAATTTGACTGTGTAACGTTTTCATCATTTTATTATTCCATTGTGAAAGAAGTATAGAAATGATCTCATTCAAGTTCCCATCAAAGGAGAAAAATGTTCTATATGCAAAGAGGAGGAGGTTTTATAGGAATGAGCTCAGCAGACTGGACCGCCCTCCCCACCCCCCGGCCCCCGCCCCATGTGCCCTCACCGCCATAAACGCCTGACTTTCTGTAGCACATCATTTGCAGGAACTGCTTTAAGCCAAAAGTTTTTTCCAAGATATCTGACATTTTAAAGTGTCTTCCCTGTTCCAAGTTAGAGAAAATACGGTAATTATTGATCATATTAGGCACGAAGCAGATTTCTCCTCCGTTCGGAGAGTTAAGTATTAAATCAAGAGTCTGAGAATTCATTTTCATCTGGAGTCTTCTGTGGGACCTGCATTACTCCGGGTTCTGGGCTTTTCCCCACCTACCCACTAGCTTTATTCCGCTGGGAAACGGTTGCTACACAGGAGGAGAAAGCTGGCCTGCTCCACGGGTTAGAAAAAAGGAGCAAAAGAACAGACCACATTGTTGCCAACGCTAGAGGCAAAACTTTCACTACCCTGGTTGTTCTTGTGTAAAATGCCAGCAGTAGCTCAGGTGCCATCAGAGCTGCTTTGCGAGGGAAGATTTTTCTCCAGGAGCCCATTTGGCCAGCTTGGAAATAAGTCACCTTATATTGATCTCGGAGAGGGATGTGATATGTTAGGAGATGTTGTGGTTTTCTGTGCTTCATCTCTTTCCCTCTTTGGTTTTTTATTACTTTATTTTTAAATTACAGTTGACATATACCACTATATTAGTTTCAGGGACACAACATAGCAATTAGACATTTATACCCCTTACAGAGTGATCACCCAAATGAGTCTAGCACCCACCTGACATCCTTTGGTTTCTCTATAGCTCCATATACCATCATCACTTTTCCCTTCCTATTCGCTGTGATGTTTGGGGACTTTGGACATGGCATTTTGATGACCCTTTTTGCTGTATGGATGGTGTTAAGGGAGAGCCGGATCCTCTCCCAGAAGAATGAAAATGAGGTAACATTTAAGTTACATCTACAGTAGAATATTTAAGTTACATCTGTAGACCAAAACTTTGTAATTTCTCGAGCATTCATTATGAAAATTATGATCCAGAAATCTTTTATTCATGAATTTATAGAGAGGTTATGTTCATTTAACACTTAAAGAGGCCATGTGCTGTGAAAGTGAATTTCTTGTTTGTATTGTATTTTGGTCTTTCCTTCAAGCTCTCTGACCCCGGATGGGGTCAAGTGGTGTGAGAGGGAGGGTCTAGCGTATTGTAAATAACATTGTCATGACATAAGCTACAGCAAGTACATTTCATTGACCTCTTTCTTCTGGTTTCCAGATGTTTAGCACTGTGTTCAGTGGACGGTACATTATTCTTCTGATGGGTGTGTTCTCCATCTACACTGGCCTCATCTACAACGATTGCTTCTCCAAGTCTCTTAATATCTTCGGATCATCCTGGAGCGTACGGCCTATGTTTTTATCTAACTGGACGTAAGTTGCAGAAGAACCTAAAAGTAAAAGCCTATTCCTTTCATATTCAGCTCTGATTTCCCAGGCAAGCAGTAAACTTTAACACTTCTTTAGAAGCTGGTTGACAATGTCTCTGTTTCAGAAGAATGCACTGTTTCCTCTTATTTATGCTGGGAAGTACTTTGTGGTTTGTTCAGCAGTCTCAAGGAACTGAGACCAAGTTAGGCACATTGATTCTTTTTATAAATTAAAAGCAGATTTTCCAAATTCCCTACTTGGCTATATATGTGTGTTTAAATTTTTTGTTGTTTTTATCTCTGATCTCTTCTCATCTCAGATGCCAGTCCCTACTCTTTTATTGAAGGGACGAGATAGCTGTAGTAGTTTGTTTCGGAATCAGTTTCTGGATCCAGTAGTTTCCCTCTGTTGATAAAAAATAAATGCAACTTTTCTCCTAACGTGGTAGGGAAGAGACGCTTCGGGGGAACCCTGTGCTCCAGTTGAACCCAACTGTCCCTGGAGTTTTTGGTGGACCATACCCTTTTGGCATCGATCCAGTAAGAGCACTTCTTTCCTATACATCTAACACTAAAATTTTAAATTGTGACTCTAAAGTGAGAGAATGAAAGTGAGGATAAATAGTTATTTGGCTTTTACTTGACCTATTTTTGGAAAGCCTTGGTATATCTGTCTGGTGTACTAGAAAGCTGTGAAAGACCCAAGTGCCTTGGGAGCCAAGATCATTTTTCCTGTGCTGCATATTTCAGAGGTGGCTAGTAAAATCGACTCTGGGAAGACTGATTTTCAAGATTCCTTCCCAGTTTATTTATTTGGTTTTTATTTTTCACATATGTTTTAACAAAATAGAAATAGCTCTTCCCTATGGGTTTAGATTTCCATTCTTATTTTTATATACCTGTAAGAACTTATCCCTGCCCTGACTGGTGTGGCTCAGTGGACTGAGTGCCAGCCTGCAAACCAAAGGGTCACCAGTTCGATTCCCAGTCAGGGCACTTGCCTGGGTTGCAGGCCAGGTCGGCAGTAGGGGATATGCGAGAGGTAACCTCACAGTGATGTTTCTCTCCCTCTCTTTCTCACCCCCCCGCTTACCTTCTTTCTAAAAATAAATAAATAAAAATCTTTTTTTAAAAAGAACTTATCCCAGAATTTAATTATTTTTTCAAATACTTAGGCAGATAAAGAGTGATTAAATATTTTGTTGTGTGTGCATAAGAAAGGGGGCAGGAGAAATTGAAGAATAAGTGTTAGACAGTAAGCATTATAAAATTCCAGGGGAAAAACGTAATTATGGGCCAGAAAGATTACGATTTCTTATTAAAATGGGGATTAATCTGGCCTTTAAAAATATTTCAGATTGTTATAGGTGAGAAGTGTTTGGAAGAAACACAGAGGTGGGGGATACAGAGTTGATTGTTTTAATTATTAGAGAAGTTAATGTTATTGAAATGTTTACCATGGTCCAGTCACTATACTGAGCCCTTGGCATATCTGATTTACCCTCAAACAATTTATCAGGTAGATAATGCCATCCCTATTATACAGATAAGGAAACTGAGGCTTGAAGAGGTTTAATAACATTTCACATGTGCATTTAACAAATGTTTATTGAATTCCTATTGTCTGCAAGACATAGTGTCTGCTAGGGGAAGCACTGAACTTTAAGACATAAATCCCTGCCCTCAAGTAGTTTGGAGTCTAATAATAATATCACCTCCCATTTTTATAGTGTTCTGTAGTTTTTTCTGCAGCCATTTCTCTTGGTGCTTGCAGGGTAGGTGTTGAGTTTGAAGTGCCTGCGGGACACCCAGTAAAAATGCCCATTAGGCACCTGGAGTTGTAGATTGGGACTGGATAGAGGACCGGTCACAAATTTTCAGGTTACAGGTCACTGAGAATAAGCTCTTCATGAAGAGGACAGTTTAGGGGGGGAAAAAAATTTTAAAAAGATGCTGGGCTAGATGGTAGAAGATCTGGCTTAGCAGTCTGTAGATTTTGCACTTTAGCCTAGAGAACAGTGGAGGCCCAGGGGGAGGTTTTGGCTCAAGGAGATGACCGTGCCAGAGTCCTGATTTAGGAAATGTAATTGGATGGCTAAGAGGTGAAAGAACTGTCAGGAAAATATTACAGGCATCCAAGACTTAGGGGACAAAGCTTAAGGCAATTAATATTTAAAAGTAGATATACCAACAGCACCACAGAGACATGATTAGCAAAACACAGACTGTGGGGAAATCTACAGATAACCAACCCAATTTCTTCAACAAACATCTTGTAAGAAATAAAAAAGGAGAGCTGGAGGGAGAACCTATAGCTCAGGGACTTCAAAAACTATATCAGCAATCACGGCAGGCATATAGGCCGTATCTGGGACCCTACTTTGAACAAATGAGTTAATTTTAAAAATTTGGACATGATCAGAGAAATTTGAATATTGACTATATATTTCTTGATATTAAAGAATCATTGATAATGCTTTGAGGTATGGTAACAGTATTGTGGTCATATTTTTAAAAGGAGTCCTTACATTCTAGAAATCTGCACTGAAATATTTACAGGTAAAATGATATATCTGGATTTTTCTTCAAAATAATCCAGAGGTGGGGAGCGGGTCAGGGGTATGATGAAACAAGATTGACTGAGAGTCAAGGAATGGATAGTAATTGTTGGAGCCAGGTGATAGGTACATGGAAGTTGTTTGTTATATTATTCTCTCCGCTTATGTATATATTTAGAATTTCCCATAATTTTTTTAAAAACCTATTTTTCAAAAAGGAATGATATTTTTCCATTCGAGCACTCTGTGTAATACATTTTTGTTTTCTTGGGTTGTAACAGATTTGGAACATTGCTACCAATAAACTGACCTTCCTCAACTCCTTTAAGATGAAGATGTCTGTTATCCTGGGCATCGTCCACATGATGTTTGGGGTCAGCCTGAGCCTTTTCAACCACATGTGAGCTGCTCTGGTTCTGTCATAAGAATGTGCTTAGTTTAGATAATGCTTTTGCCAAGGGAATTTATGACGTTTTGGGGAGGGATTAGTAGCTCAGAACTCTGTTTTATGTCTTTTTTAAAGTGCTTTTAAGAAATCACATGTTTTTAAATGGGGTTTACTTAATTTTATTCCCTTAGCAATTTAGAATTGCAGTAAAGATCTTTGAGAGAAACTTGTGTAGTTTTCATCAAAATGAGGTTTTGGTTTTTTTTTCCTTGATGTGTAACCCACATAAAATTATGAACTGTGTCTTGGAATGTACTAGATTTTCCAGTCTCTCCCTCATGGGAGAGTGGTGGGGATGGTCCTGGAGCTGTTCAAGGTCCAAAAGTGAGGGAGTCATAGCTAATTCTGCTCATCTCTGTTGCCTCCAGTACTCCCGGCTGTTGCTTCTTACAAGGATAAAGACAGAACTGAGGACACGTTAGGAGAAAAGCTCGTGAGACTCCAGTTAGTGTAGGGGTGACCCTGGGTCTGTTTACTTGTCACATTTTTTTCTCTCTTTCTTTTTAGCTATTTCAGGAAGCCTCTGAATATCTACTTTGGATTTATTCCTGAAATAATCTTCATGACCTCTTTGTTTGGCTACTTGGTTATCCTCATTTTTTACAAGTGGACGGCCTATGACGCTCACACATCTGAGAAAGCACCAAGCCTTCTGATCCATTTCATAAACATGTTCCTCTTTTCCTATGAGGACATTGAAAATTCAATGCTATATTCTGGACAGGTGTGTTAATCCAGAAATGGACTGTCTTAGGCGGTTACCCTAGGTCAGGAAGTGAGATGCTTCCGTTACCCTAAAAATCTTTTTAAAATCCCTTTCTGTAGAATTGGGTTTTCAGTTCATACATCCAGATCTAAATTCAGCCCATCCTCCTTACTTGAGAGGGCCTACTGTGATTTCTGTACCCAAAACGATAAATAATAACTCTCATCCTATGGAACAATTTCTGGGCTTCGCCACATCTGCTAATTAATTTGAGAAACTGGATAACGTTTTTCACAGATCAGTAAGAAAGTACCATTTTGGGGTTAATTTGTGCTGGAGTTGGAAACTGCATGTTTGATTAATGCGATGTGCGTTGTCCTTCTTTGCAGAAAGGTATTCAGTGTTTTCTGGTTGTGGTTGCGTTGCTCTGTGTACCATGGATGCTACTGTTTAAACCACTGATCCTTCGCCATCAATATTTGAGGAGGAAGCATTTGGTAGGTGTATTTCTGTTGCTGAAAGTTACTAGATTTTTTTTTTTTTAAGATCAAGGCAGTTCCTCATTGGACCTGATGAATTGTGCACAAATCTATATGCTCTTAAAATGCATTTGTATCATATCCCAGCATGAGCACTGGACTCACTGAAATAAAAAAATTATGTTTTTGCTGCCCAGACATCTGGATTCGGCTTTGAGTAGCTCGGGTACAGAGAATAAGTCACAAATTTTTACCCTTTCTGGTCATGTCTTGCTTATTCTGTGCTCAGCAAAATCCAGGCCCGGGCCTGTCTAGATGCAGCATGAGACACAGCAAGGCTCCGAGAGCTGTAGCCGGGTGAGCCCGCTCCTGTGGTTTGCCTGGGCAGCCGCAGGGCTGACGCTGAGACGTCTTCTTTTGAAATAAGACTGTGATACGTTCACCAGCCAAAACATCTGGGAAAAAGATTTGGTTTGAAGCATGTTGGGTTTTTTTCCTTTTAAAAAGCAACAAACATACTTGTATTTGCTCAATGTATGTGTGCATATGAATTCTCTACACACACACTTAAGTCGCCAGATGTTCATTTCTGGCTATGCAGTAATGCTTACATATTGCACTGTCTGGTAAAACCCAAAAGATCTTTTTGCATGACTCTCATGTGGCTGTTAGATTATTGTTCCTGTTGGAGAGCAGCCGAGTTACAAGACCCTCCTTCTCCCTTTTCTGACCATCTTCATCCTCCCATGTCCCCTGCATTCGTCTCCCCCTTCACTCCCTCCCTCTTTTGTTTCCTTCTCCCTTCCTCTTCTCTTCCATTCACTATCAGGAAGGGCAACCTGTGGAGGCCCCAGTCAGCCCAACCCCGAGCCAACAGGGACTAGAGGCAGCAGCGGCTGCAACAGTGAGTGAATTTAAACCAACAAACCATCACATTTTGTTTAAAAAGGTAGCAAACAGTGCAGCAGAAATCTTTTTAACTATATTGAGAGCATGGGACACATGTGCTCTGGGAAGTATGTCCTTGTTATTCATTGAGACAACAGAAAAGATTTCCACTTCTTAAGAGCAGATTCTGATAGCATCTTTACTGTTGATCTACTAAGTTCTATTCAAATATGTAAGTACAGTCATGTTTATGGAAGCAAAGTGGCTGTTGTACCCTCTCCAGGTCCCATCGTCTTAATCCAAGATGGCAGCTCTTGGACTCATCAACTTTCATGTCTGTGTTTTGTGACCATGGATTGGGTGATTTTTCAGCATGGAGCAAGAACATCTCTGTAATTCTTGAATTGATTTCCCAACACTTAATGTTCTGCTTCAGAATGATGCTTGGACATCTGGTCCATTTTGGCTGTGACTCACTCTCTCTCCAGTGGAAGCTTATACATGTCTGCTTTTTCATGAGCAACTCATAAGCTCTCACATCGTCAGCTGTTCCAATGAGAACCCCACTCCACCATGTGTCTCGTGTGTACTGTTCATCTGGTATAATAACCAGGGTCGTCTTCTGTTTTGATCTTTCCGTCTTCCAGGACTACCTTATGATTCAGTATCAGCGCTTTGACAGTTAAATATTGAAAAGCATTTCAATATTTGTCCTTAAAAGCATCTCTTAACCAAAATCTTACAATGTCCTAAGAGCAAACTAGTCCAAACTTATCTAGATAATGAATCTGTAAGATTTTTCAGTATCTCCGCCAGTGGATACTCATGTACTGTTGTGTTCTAGTAGCATCGCAGTCCTTTAAAAGAAAGGAAAATATATAGATGGATAACCATTTCTTTCATTAGGTGTTTCTGATCATTTTAAACTTAAGAAAACTACTATGATCATCCTTCTAGAACTAGTCTAAGAAGACTGATATTTTGGATCAGACGAAACTTTAAAATTGCTGCTTAAAATTATTTTGAAGTAGGGACTCTCTCCTTTCCTATGAGAAATTTTTAAAAAACCCTGAAAGCACATACTCATACTGCCCATTTATCGACATTCTTTCCATGTGCTCTTCTTTCCGCGAGTCTTAATGTTTTCAAGGCGTGCTTCTCATGTGTCAATCTTGATGCTTTTAAATCTGGCATCCTTTTCTTTCATACTATTCAAGTTAAAAGTCCCTAGCCTAGAAACCTGCACATTCATAGAGTCTTCTCAGCCCACTGAGTGTTTTTGTTTGTTTGTTTTTTAGCCAAACATCTGGAGAGCAGCCTGAAGGCATCCGGATGGTAGTTTTATAACAGGACCCGGGGTTTTTGCCCCAAGGGCTGAGGATATGAACACGGACCTGTTTTTGTTCTGTGCTGGGTCCTCTTAGTTGTCTGTAAGCCATGTATCCCAGTTTAATTCTCTTTTCTGTTTTCTGCCGGTGCATGTGTGTCTCATCCGCCTTCCTGTAACTCTCGTCCCCTGGGTCCTGAAAGGGCAGTTGTTAGTGTCTAGCTGGGAGCTTCGACGTGCCTGCCCCTCACTTCATCCCCTCGCTGGGGAGAGCTTCAAAACCAGCCTTCTGCTTTAGGGGCCTTGAGGCCTGCCTCCTGGTCGCTGGCTCGGACCCACCCCAGGAGTCTCCTCCTGTCCCTCATGCTCTTTGTCGCCCTCTCAGTCCCCTTTTTGAGGGTTGTCAGATATAACATTTGCATGTCCTGGAGGTGCCTGGGGCTTTGGTGGTTCCTGAATCTGGCCACACATCAGAATCACCTGGTGGACTTTCAACTTGTTTCTTAAGGTATTAAAATAGATAAATAGAAAAAGAAATAAAAGTGGGTATAATTCTATGACCCAGACAGTCCCCTACTGACATTGAAAACTGAAATAAACAATAGATGCCCTTGGTTAGAGAATGTAAATAAGGGAGCGTTTGAGATCTTGCTTCCCAGGATATGCCACCTGTTTGGCTCAAAGAAACTCTTATAAAAATTGGGGGAAAAAAAGAAAATACAAATAAAAGCATCTCTGTCCCCAGTACCCTTCCCCTTCTCAAGGGTATTATGCCTTCAAATATTTTTCTGCATATGTCAGCTTATATCTGCCATCTATTGATGTAAATGTATATGTGGATGTACATATATATATAAAATATTTAAAACACATTAGAAAAATAGGAAAAAATAAAACACGTTAGGAATTGTGTTTAACTGTAGCGCTATTCTGCCCCTTCGTGTATTAGGTTGTTCAAAATTGAGTGTCTCTTAGAGATGGTTTCATAGTGATACTCTTTTTAATAGTTGCCTAGCATTCCATATACCTTCTGTTAGATACACTAAAATTATGTAATCCCTTTCTTACGGACGGACGTGTTTGTTGTTTCCAGTTCTTTGCTATTGCAAATAATAGTGCAGGGAATGTCCTTGTCCTTCATGAAATGTCGCCAGCCAGTCCCCAGCGGTGCGTGCGATTGCTGAGCCTCAAAGGGCGTGCGCATTTTTTGTGTATGTGTGTATGCATTTTCCATTTTGATAGACAATCAAAATGATTCTACAGTTTGTACTTGAGGAAATATTTTTTTAATTACAGATTTCCTAGCCCCCCCCCTCGCCCCCGCCTAAAATCTACTACATTTACACTTTCTGGGGGTAGTATTTGAGAATCTCTACTTACTGAAGTGCAACATTCGAGCTGATTCTGATGCCGTCGGTTCTCTAACCAGCATGTGAGAACTGCTGCTGGAAGAGAGAGAATCTGCCCAAAAAGTGAGGTCCGGTGGTCAGTAAACTGGTAAAAGATGAGGTCGCAAGTGGGGACCTCAGGGCAGCTGACCAAACCTGCTCACACGCCCAGAGCCCGTTTTGCAGGAGAGCAGTCTTCCCCCTCTTGCCTTGTCTGCCCCGCCCCAGACAGAAACCATACAAAGTGGGTCTGGGGCTGTTTCTTCAGCTCCTTTTCCTCCGTGGCAGGTTGAGCACTAATTGGTATCTGTCAGATTTGATCCCAGCTCTGCCTGGTTTTTGTACCCACTGGGTCCTTTTGCCTCAATAAACCCAAGCTTTTCCAAATCAAGTTGATGTAGAAATTCTGGTTCTGGAGACCCTGCTGAAAACTGTGCCTGAGAAGCGAGGAGGAGCAAGCGCCCCATTGGCATCTGCCCACATGCCTGTGAAAGACTTGTTTTCATGCTCCAGAATCCTCCATTGAAGGAAAGGAGCCTTTTTTTCCCTTTTTTTTTTTTTTTTTAACTCAGTATTCCCTAGCCCCAAGTTTGTATACATTAAGCTTTTTTCCCTCCTCTGACCTAGGAAGTCCTTTGCTCCTGGGCATAGACCCAGTGCATTTCTGGGAGACGTTGCTAGAACTCTTGGGGCTCTTGTTTGAAAGCTTATCAGACCAGATCACTACCGCCATGTCATTTGGTGCTGCTCCCACATAGGAAGTCCGCTCTTTAATTCAGTTCCAGGAAACCTCAGGCCACTGAAGCCTTTACAGACAGAGCGACGCTTGTTATGAGAGTCCGTTCCTATTAAGGATTTCCATTGATTCAGGAATTTGCAATTAGCTTTGACCAAGACCAGGCTGGAGTCTCTGGGCACAGCGGGCAGAACCGCGTACATCAGGATGAGGCGGTGACTGTAGCTGGGGCTGGGGCTGGGGCAGCAGCGGTCAGGGGGGAACGGTGGTCACTTAGCTGTTTGACCAGTGGGTTTCGATTTTGTCGTTAGCATATATGCTTTTCTGAGGTTTGTATGTACTAACCATCGCCCTTCCCCACCTCACAAAATGTCACATTAAAGCCCCGGCAAATTCTACTCTTTCTGTTCATGTGTGTAGGGAACTCTCAACTTTGGTGGGATCAGGGTGGGCAACGGACCGACAGAGGAGGATGCTGAGATTATTCAGCATGACCAGCTCTCCACCCATTCAGAAGATGCAGAAGAGGTAAGATCCAGTGGCGTGGGCTTCCTCTCCTTCCACCTTGGGTCAGCCCCAGTCTTGTGTTGCTACGTGGCCTCCCTCCAGTCTTCTCCTTGAAAAATGAAAATACTAATCCTATACCGATCAGCCTGCCTTCTGGACCCCTTAGGGCACTACGGCTTCTTCCAGTGGGCCCCTCCTCTGCAGCCCAGGTGTTGCCTGCAGAGCCCGCTGCAGCTTCGTTCTGTTGTTCGACTTCCTAAATTCCGAGCTGCACGCAGAGCTTGACTGCACACCGCCCTCCTGGGCGCCGAGGCCGAGCGGGCCGCGGCCTCCCAGCCCTCAGTGGCAGCAACACAGCCCGCGCAGGCAGCGTGCTCGCCGCTTGCCCCTCCCAGGGCGGCTTCAGTTGGATTGTAGTCACCGGTACCTTTGGGAGTCCTGTCCCACTGAGGTGCTCTTGTTGCAGATATTTTATTTGAGCCTGTTAAAAATGTCATTTGCCTACTTTTTACAGGGAGACTGAAAAAATAGTAAGGCTAAGCTCCGCTTTTCCTGCACTACCACCTCCACGCTCAGTTTATTAAAACCCAGTCTCCTTGCCTGACCGCTCCCACCACAGAGCCTCTAAACATTTGAGTCTCATCCATTCATTATATTCCTTTTAAAGCAAGTAGAACAGGAGTTGAGGACCCAGGTGACTGGGCTTTTCAGTCTGACCACTTTCGCTATGTATGACTTTTTAAAAAAGAAATTGCAATATGTGTTAATGCTCTAAATCCTGCTAGTTTTTCTTCCCGTGTATGCTGAGGAGGCCTGCCTCCCACGCGTTAGACCCCTTTAACATGAACGGTCCTCCCCCGAGAAGCAATCAGGACTCTTGTGTTCGTGACTTGTGACCTTGCGTGTGCTATGGCTTCCCACTAAGTGTCACTTTGTGTTTTCAAGCCTACCGAGGACGAAGCGGTAAGAAACAAGCTGCTTTGCCTTCATGTTTATCTGGGGCTTCTCTTCCCGTCCTTGTGATCACTTTGCTGAGCCTGCTGCATCCGGGGGCCACACGTGACACCCGCGTATCCTGCATCTCACTGGCCATTTCTAACCAGTTCGTGAACCCACGTTCTGAAAATGCTCATCTCCATTAACTGCATCTCATGTCGGTCACCTCTGTCTTTGTTTCATTGACTTCGCTGATCTAATACCTCTGAGAATGGCTTTGTAAGGGGCTACAAGTAATGTCCGCACTGGCATTCTTGAAGTGATTCTTGGGGGTTAAATCCCACTGGCTTCCGCCTGCCTCTCCTGTCACGTTATGTACGGTCACTCTGCCACTGGGAGCAGCTGTTTCCTCCCTGATCCTCTGAGTGCTTATGAGTAAATCTCCCCCTTCCTCCCTGTCTGAGATGCAGCCGGCCTCTTCCTGCTGCCCTCGTCAGCTTGATGATGCTTGAAGTGAGGGTTGCTGCACCCCCGCTTGGGGTCAGCCCTGCCTCTGTGTGACCCAGGTGGGAGGCAGGCAGCTTTCAGAAGGAGGCTTTGCCTCTTAGATGTATCCCAGAAAACCGATCCATCTGCACGAAAGGAGCTCATATCAGCCACACATGCAGAATGATAACCAGGGACAGAAAGAAAGTTGGCTAAATGTCCAGGCCCCACCTGGAGAAGGCCTTCTGGCTCAGCAAGAGTCCATTCAGTGACATAGAGGTTTGGAATTGGGATTTTTAAAAGGCCATGCTGCACTGTTTGCATCTTCCCCTAAACTTCCCGCTAAAATACTTAGACCATGACCCTTCCCTTTCCTGGCTCTCCTGGTCCTCTGTAAGGGCGCAGTGGGATGGGAATGGGAAAGTCTTTGTTGTTTTGTGTGAAAACAGGCAGTGCTCGGTCCTCCGGAGGGCGGGAGGGCCCCTGTGCTGGCACCCAGGTGCTCCCGTGTGCCTCTGGACTGCCCAGCTGGGCACAGCCTCTGGCGGAGCGGCCTGGAAGGGCTGCGGGAGTGTGCTCCACGTGCGCGAGGAGCCTGGCCCTCTCCCAGGAACGTCGCCTCCGACAGTACTGCCCTTTCTAAGTGCCTTACTAATTGAGCGCCCAAATGTCACGGTGATTGTCAGAACAGTACTTATTTGTAGCCAGATCCCAGGGGGTCGGACACCCAAACAAGATGGACTGTAATGCAGCTGTCTTAGTCTCTGACCTCCCCCCAGTTCCCTCAGGGGTTCAGTTTCTCGTAGCTTCCTAAGTAGACATAACACTTCATCAAGGACATACACAGTCTAGTTCTCTACAGCCAGACTTGGATAGCTGTCACAGTTATCTAAAGATTTCAAACAAAACAGAATTTTTTTTTTTTTAAAGTCCAGCCTACTTCTTCTAGAACTTGCCCATTTGGCTGGGCTGTGAAAGCCTGCTGGCCCCAGGCAGGCCCTTGCTCCAGCCCAGGGGAAGCAGCAGCCCCTCGCCCTGGGGGCACTCAGTACAGTTGCAGATCAGGGCCAGGTCAGGAATCGGGAAACCTCTGAAGGCTGTGACCATTCGGCAAGGGTCAGCGGCCTCGCCCTGCTCTGTCATCTCACCAGGTGCGTTCATCCCGCCCACCCATCCATTCACTCACCCTCCGTGAGTCAAGCGCTCTGTTTAATGAGGCGGAAACTGAAAGAAGAAAAATATAGTCCTTGCCTTCGAGGACCTCCCAAACAAATTGAGGAGACAGGGTGGCTGGCAGATGGCAGGCGCTGTGATCAAAGCGTGCCCAGGATGCTGAAGGAACACAGAAAGAGGGCACCTGAAAAACGCTGGAGTTGGGGTCGGGAAGAGGAGATCAGGAAAGGATTCCCTAAGGGAATCATTGCCCCTGATCAAGGAGGAGTCTCTGCAGAGGGAGGAGGGGACGCAGAACCATTAGCACGAATAGCTCTGCTAAAGACGCAGGGGCCTGTAGGCCATCACGGGTGGAGGATAAGCAGGTGCTCAGCCTGGCTGAGGCTCAGAGTCGGGACTTGGGGGACGGTGAGAGGTGAGACTGGAGGTTGGCAGAAAGGAGCCATAGAAGGTTTGGACCACAGCGAGCCATCAGGTGACGCTGGAAGTGACGCCGGAAATGTGCCGTGCTCAAGTGCCCTAGTGGTGAGAGGGCACGGTCTGGAGGCAGGGGGCCCGGCTCCTCTGCTATGAGCCAGGAAAGAATCGTGAGGCCCGGAGCGAGGCGACGCACTTGCAGGGGGAATTGGAAAGGAAGGGACCCACGTGAGACCGAGGAAGTAAAAGCTACAGGTCCCAGTACCTTAACGAATATCGGCAGTCAAGACTGACCCCCAGGCTTGGGTTCCTGTGGGACCAGTAGTGACACCATTTGACACGGGGTGTGGACTAGAAGTAGGTCTTGGTGGGGTCAGAGGACAGCAGTTAATTCGTTTAGTCTGGGGGCTTTGAGTTGACTGCCTGTGGTGCACCGGGAGGCCATGAAGCACAGCCAGTTGGAAATGGGGAATGTGGGAGTGGAGGTGACCACGGGGGAGTCACTCCTAGGGGCGGCCCGGGCGCCTTGAGTGACGGTGCCACAGGAAGGGTGTCAGGGCTGAGGCTGAGGTTCCCGCATTTAAGGAAGAGCCAAGATGAAGTCAGAAGGAACCTTGAGAGAAGTAGGAAGACAATGTAGGGGAGGGGAGCATCTCAAGAGGGTGGAAGAAAAGGTGACAGTGACAGACACTGCAGAGGCTCCATCAGGACACAGAGTGTTAGGCCCCAGGCTGGGAGGTCAGGCTGAGAAGGGCCCGTCTGTGGAGCAGAGAAGGTAGAAGCGAGGGTTCAGCCGGTGAAGAGGCACAGGAAACGGAGACAGGGAGTCTGCAGACATTCAGGGTCAGTCGTGCGGATGCTTCAGCACATCCGAGTGACAGAGTCCCTGAATCCTCACCCCTGTACCTCCCCCCATCACACAGAAACTTTGCCCAAGGTTACAAAGCAGGAAGTTAAAAATGAAGGACAGGAGAAAGTTAGGGCAATGCCTGGGAGGGAAGCTTCCTCCATCCTTCTTCTTCTTTTTTTTTTTTTTTTTTTTGTGGGAGAAACTGGAGGTGGAATAAAAATGCTATAAGCAGCTTGTTGTAAGGGAGCTCAGCAGTCACTGCTTTTGCAGAGCTCTTGGAAGTAAAGACCTGCGCTCCTTGAAGCCGGGGACCTCTCCTTCCTCCGAGTGTGGACTTTGGGGGCAACAGCCAGCAGCAGTGGGAAAGAACTCTTAGCACCATTGTTGGGGTTTGGGTAGCTAGGATTATCCTAGTGTTGGGGGTAGCTAGGCAGGTTGGCAAGCTTGTTCCGGAAGAAAAGCCCTGGGGTACTCTGGTGTAGACAGTCAGAGGTACAGGAAACAAGGCAGCTGCTTAAAGACCTGGAGCTGGTCCCCCTGCCCACTGGCCAGCCCGGCTGTTAGCCTTTTACCAGCCTAGTCCTTTCTCCTGTCCCACCCTCATGTGATTTCCCAAGGCAGTTCTGGTATTAGTACTTTGGGTGTGGAGTCACATGAGTCTTGGGAGAAATTGTGGTGAAAAATAGACTTTGACCCGGGGACAGGACAGGCTGGGGAGGCCCACTGGGCGGCCGCCTTCTGCTCCTGGGGTTCTGGTCGGGGCTGCGGAGAGGGGCCCCGGGAAAGGCATGACCTCCTGCTCTACAGCGGCCGTTGGTTTCCCCAGCCGGGAGACTGAGAGGCCGCGAAGTGCACCTGTGCTCTTCCCCAGCCGTGCGGGGGAGCAGCCCTAACTGTGAGCTCCCAAAAGCTTGCTCCAGCCCTGCCCTTTTACCCTGGAAACAGTTTTGATGTTGAAAGGAAAACTGGGAGAAAGGGAGAGTGAAACCCAACAGGTATTCTGTCCAGTCTTAATAAACCGTCCAAATAGCAATTAGTAAAACTTGCTACAATTTCCTTGTGTCATCTTTTCAGAAGTCACAAAAAAAAAAAAAAAAATGAAAAAGGGAAGAAAGAAAAAAAAAAAAGACGGTCGGTTATCTGGCTCCCAACAGTTTGTAAAAGTAATTGAGTGAAGTGACTGCAGAGGTCTGGGGCCCACCAGCCAGGGGGGCCCTTCTGGCTCTTGGGGCTCACTCCCGGCAGCGCCTCCCTCCCAGCACCGGCAGGTGGGAGTCCGGAGGGAGTCGCCCAGAGCAGGCCCATGGAGGCCAGAGAGTCGTTTTCTCCGAGCGCTGTCAACACTCACACACACCCCACTCAAGCTCGCGGCCCAGCAGGGAGAAAACAAATGCGTTGAGATCTCTCATGAAGACGTAGTCCATTACGATGTAGTGTATTGAGGGGATAGGGGTGTGCAGCTGGGGACTAGGCCGGGCAGGATTTCTGGAGACGGCATAGCTGAAATCACCCCTGGAGTTCAACATGGGGGGCTCCTGGCCCATGGAGCACAAAGTGCCACTTGGCCACAGCCCAGACTTCCTCACATTCCCCTCCCAGCCTGATATCTTCTGTCTGGTTTCCTCCCACCACAGTTTGACTTTGGAGACACCATGGTCCACCAGGCCATCCACACCATCGAGTACTGCCTGGGCTGCATCTCCAACACCGCCTCCTACCTGCGGCTCTGGGCGCTCAGCCTCGCTCATGCGCGTGAGTGTGTTCCTCTCAGGTGGAAAACTGGGGTTTCCCCCCTTCTCTGGGCGCACTCTGGGGTGGGGGGCTTAAAGAGAGCGGGAATGACATAAAGGTTCCGGGATGATTCAGACTCCTAAGTCCAGGTGGAATGAGCCTAGATGGGAGAATCAGTGCTTTTTTCAGGTGAGCGACGCACAGGGGTCCGTCCCACCAAGGTCGTGGGACGCCAGAATGCAAGGCACGCTCCAGGTGAGGGGCGGCAGGGGAAATGCAAGGCCCGCGGCGCTTCTACCAGAATGACCCAGATGTGCTGTCTTTCTCCCCGTCCCCAGAGCTGTCGGAGGTGCTTTGGACCATGGTGATCCACATTGGCCTGAGGGTGAAGAGCTTGGCGGGAAGCCTGGCGCTGTTCTTCATCTTTGCCGCCTTTGCCACCCTGACCGTGGCCATCCTCCTGATCATGGAGGGCCTGTCCGCCTTCCTGCACGCGCTGAGGCTGCACTGGTGAGGGGCGGGGCGGCGGGGGGCCGGGCGGGGCGCGTCCTTAGCTGCACTGGGGGCAGCTTTGCTCCCGTATGGGATCCAGAGACAGTAGGAAGTGTCTGCTTTCCCATCATCCCACCCAAGGACAGATCTCCCTTGGAGATCGTCAGCTTCAGGAAGTGCCCGCAGACAAGCCCAGCTCCCTTGTCATAGCCTCCGGGGAGAAACCTCGGGTGGGTGTCATCACGTCCCCTCTCCCTGCCTTCGTAGCATTCCTCCGTGCTCTTGATGACAGCTTAAAAGATCTGCTGAGGTGGTATTTTTTGTTGTTTGTTGGGGGCTTTGCTTGCTCTGACATAGAACTTCCTCCTGTCTCCAGAGCAATGAAAGCAGCTCTGGAGCGGATTCTAAGCCCAGGAAAGTGCTTGAGCACAGCGTGCCCCAGTGTCATCCCCCTGTTTCTGTCATTGTGCCAGTGTCTTTGAGTAGGACCCCTGGCAGCTCCCTGTGGGTGGGGGATTCCTGCCTCCCTAGCGTGTGTCTCAGTGCACGGAAGCTGCTTCAGGAGGCCAGGTCTGAGGTTGGTTTGTTTCTTTTGGTTCGCAGTCTGGCGCTCAATCCACTGAGCCACACCAGCCAGGTTGTTTGTTTCCTCTGATGTAGTCTGTGGCTCTGAATGGTCCCACGTTGCACGGAGAGCTCAAGGCTGGGCTGGGCTGTGACTCTGTGACCTCGGGAGTAGGGCTGCCAGATTCAGCAAATACAATTACAGGACACACGGTTAAATTTGAACTTCAGGTCAACAATGAATAGTTTTTTCTTGTAGTTGAAGTACTTTCCAAATGTGCGCGGGACATACTCACACTAAAGCTGTGTATCTGGCTCCCCTAACCTCTTCGAGTCTCCATTTCCTCCTTTATGTTGTGATTCTCCCTTTTTGGGTCTCAGACCCCAGTGGTTCTGGAAGTTCTAGACCCTCTCTCCAGAGAAACGCCCCCCTAATGTGTACCTACACAGTGCTACCAGTTTCAGGGTTCACAAACCTGCTGACCTGACCCTAGGAACCCCTGGATGAGATGTCTGTGGTTTTAATGATCTCAGGGTCAGAAGAGGGGCTGGGATGTCTCTTCGCATCACTAATCCAAACCCGGAGAAAACCCAGAACCTGAACCCGAGGGGCCTCTTCTCTTCCCATGCCCCTTACTTGAGTTTCCTCCTAGCTTTGTTATAGCTGAGCCTCTGCAAGGATTCTGCTGTTTGTTGCTCTAAATTATGGAGGAGAGAAGTGAGGCACGTAAGGGGAGGGGGACTGGGCTCAGGCTTCCCTCAAAAGCCCAGGCCTGCCGGGTACTAGCCAGCACACACCGCCTCCTCGGGACCAGGCCTCCCTCCTCCCCGCCCAGTTGTTGTTTACTGTGGAGCCTGGAGGCTGGGCGCTCCACGTGACCAGACTGCTGGCTGCTCCCCTGCTCTCAGCTTATCTGCCGGCGCTCTCCCCAGCACACTTCCTCAGCTGCTCCGCGGGAGGGCTGTCTGCAGGGCGGCCTGCGGTGACTCACTTTTTCTTGCGCTCTTGGCTTCCTTCCTTTCCTGGTCACTTCCCTGTCTCCTGATCCCCGGGTTTGCGGGAACAGTTATCACCCAACCTTGATCCCTAAGCGGGGAGCCTGCTGCCTCCTCCGGGGGAGGGACGGGAACAGTCAAGGTGCTGGACCAGAACTGTCAGAGGAGCGGCCAGCCAGGCCCACCACGATGTGAGGAAGGTCGCTGGGGCTTGGGCCCAATCTCCAGGGCGAGCCGGGGCAGCTGGCGAGGTCATGTTTTGTTGCCAGAAGGATTACCCCTTCCTCAGGCTCATCTGTGGTCTTCCAGTGAAAGTATCTTCCCTTGCCCTCATAAATGAGCCCACAGAAGTGATGTGTGACAAGAGAGCTGGCTTCAGAATCAGGCCTGCCTGGCTTTACAGCCTGGCTCTGCTCACACTTTCGGCGGCCCTGAGGAAGCGCTTAGCTCTCTGACCCTCCCTTTCTCTCAGGCCGCATCAGAGAGCACCATCTGCAGGACAAAGGTGCCGTGATTAAACATGACGTACTCTACATACCAAGCAGCTCTCACGGTGCCCTGGCACATTGTAAACCGCTGTTCAAGTGCAGACCACGGCGGCCCTGCTTAAAGGCGGGGTGCCCTGTAGAGAGGGCACCTGGCTGTGGTAACTTGTACAGAAACTGCTTGCAGTCTGTTTAGAGAGCAGGGAGACCACTGAGTGGCGGGGAGACATCATGCCGTCTGAATGCCTCTCCAATGTAGTTTGCAAGGAATAGATTTGTCAACCACATTGCCCTTGTGGGGTTTTGGTGGTGGAAGTATTGGGTAGAAGAGAAAGAACGGTGAAAACTCCTTTGTGCAGCACCTTTTCTAATCCCACCATAGGGAAGGCAAGCTGGGAGCGCATCCCCACCTTGGAGAAGGGAATGAAATTGGTGCTAGAGCACCCCCTCCTGGCCAGATGTGGAAGTGCTTCAGGGATGCCTGGGCCTTCTCGTCCTGGGGACGCAGTTCGCAGTTGTGGCCATCTTGTGAGGCGTGGGAACGTCTAGTCCTGCTGAAAATGGCTGTGGGGACATTGTTCCTGTTTTTCCTGGTGTCCAGCCTGGACGTCTTTGTACCTGTCACTTTACCCTTGGTATTCGGCTGCTGTTTCCTGATTCTGCCCCATTATACAAGTTCTGGGTCTCTTCTGTGGGGACAAGAGAAACGTGATTTGATAACAAATATAAACTATTAGTCTGAGATCCAGGTAGGGCCAGGAGGAGGTGGGTGACATTTGAAAACAACGGTGAGCAGGCTCGTTCTGTCTCCTTCTGGGGTATCTGTCCCTCTCTGTTCTCCCGCCCACCAGGTACAGTGAGTGAGCTTTCCTGCCTCCGTAAATACTTGTCTTTTCTTCCTCAGAACAGGCAAAAGAAGGGATATGACTAGTAGTTATAATGTTACCAGACAAGGCCTGGCCCTGAGCCGGCCGGCCCTGGGCCAGCGGGAGTGTGGGGGGTTCTTGACTTCGTGCAGGGAAGCTTTCACAGCACGAGCCCAGGTGGCTGTGAGGACACATTTATGAAAGCTGGGGTCAGGGGTACGAGGGAGGGCTCGGCATGGAAGGAGCAACGGTAGAGCTTCAGCCGGGCTGCCTGAGCTCACTCACTGGGGAGTCGGAGGAAAAGGCCTTCAGGGCAAGTTCAGGGGATGAGCCTGGGGCAAGCTGCCAGCTGCATTGCTCCCCTGGTTGCAAGTCTTGTGGGGACCCTTTGAGTCCAGGAGATGCTTGCCTGTGGGGGAAAGAAGAGGGAAAGGAAGGGAGAGTGTGTGTGCCCTGGGTCCCTTGTCATGAGGCTTTTATCTCTTGCCAGTGGTGGGAATCTCAGGGGCGGTCTCAGGAGAGGGTTTCAGTGGAACAGCCATCAGTTATCCAGGTGTGCCCTTCGGGGTCGTGGTCTCCACTGATTGGTCGGTGACAGGGCAGGGGGTCTTTCGTCCTTGCAGTTGGTTCTGGCGTCACCCACCTAGTTTTGCTGCTTTTCTGGGCCTGGAGCTGAAACGCAACTGAGGCCTGGATGTTATCTCCAGGGAGGTCACTTTTTGTATCTGGCTGAAAACTTCCCTGCCAGTTTGTTCAGCTCTCTGTCTCAGTTTCCCTCTTCCACTCATCCTGGCTTACCGGCCTGTCTCAAGAACTGTGGACACCAAACTGACTTCAGCAGAAAGGCTGTTGCCCCATGGCCTGCCTTCTTATCTAGCAGATTCCGTGTGTGCGCAGGTGTGCGCCCTTGCACGCTCAGGCTGGTTGATGGCTGAGGGGACAGAACTGGGGCCAGTCTGTTGTAAGGAGCTCCCCGGTGCCACAGACGGGCGCCGTGGCACAGGGGAGTGAATGGCTGCCCTGGGAGGAGTAAGAACAGCTGAAACGGAGCCCCAGCCGGACATCAGCGTCGGACACGTGGGCCATCAGACAGGCGCGTGTTCCCCTCCCTGTACTGCTCCGAGAGTGACAGAAAGGACCAGAGAAGCAGCTGGGCCTAGAATCATCTTTCTAAAACTGCCTCCCCCCAGGAAAGGGAAGAGGCCCCGGAACTCCTTCCCCCTGCACTCCCTCAAGGAAATAAGGTTTCCGGTTACATAGCAAGATCTCTCTGTGGACTCCCAGTTACCCTCTGGGTCACTGGGTGGCCTTTGCCAGGGGCTGGAGCTGGAAGGGGTGACAGAGAACCTCATGTAACTGCCTGGGCTGTCCTCACAACTGTGGGACTCGGAGGTGCTTTTTGGTGGCTTGGAGCTTGGCAGGACCTGGAGGGCCCCCCCACCCCGGGCAGAGCCCCGAATGGAGGAAAAACTTGCAGAGCAGCCAGTGGCCACTGCGCACGCCCGCACACAGAGGACTGTGTGTCCCTGCTGTCTCAGGAAGCGCACGTTTCCCTGGTTTGAAGGGCGAAGAGGGTGGGGGGACCGACAGGGAAATCGCTTTCCCGCTCTGTGCCAGGAGGAGGCTGGGTGAGCAGGGCCAGGGAGGAAGGCCAGGTCAGGCTGACCCTGAGGCCCTGCTGGGGGCCGCCCGAAGTCACACAGGGACGGCAAGAGAAGGGCGGTGACCCCACGGGCATCTGAACACTTCTGAAGCCTCCCCTCCATTCGCCCAGTTTGTGTGCTTAGCCGCCAGGAGGTCAGAATTCTGATACCTCCCGGACCCAAAGGTTACCTGCCCGCTATCTGGCTACATATTGTTGAATGAAAATTAGATGAGTCCATCCATCTGTTTCAGTTGTTCAGAAATCCCTTTCCATTTGTAAACACAGCCTACCCAACATGGAGAAGTCAGACCTAACAGCGGTGGGCGAGAAGCTAGCACCTAGCCCTGTCCCCACTGCCCTCCCCCAGGAGGCCCGGCAGCTGGAGCTGGCAGGACCTCTGAGGGGTGCAGGGATGTGGGTGCGGATCCAGGTCCTGGTTTGGAACTGCTCGGGCCTTGAACTCTGTGACCGACTTCAGTTTGAAACTCCCCACCCTGGATCCCGTTTTCCCAGGGGCCTGGCCCAGGCACTAATGGGAATTTCCCAGAGTCTGGGAGGCCGGGGACCTTGGCCCAGCCCCTGGAATGTGGGCCAGGGGAGAAGGCCACTTGTCCCCGTGGCCGCACAGAAAATCGGTCGCCTCTTGTCCCCAGGGGTGGAGCTGGCAGCTCTGCAGTCAGTGTCCTCAGCCAGCACCCCAAGGCCGAAGGGGCCTCTGAGGACCGCTCAGTGCCACCTGCAGACAGTCCTCCCACCGCCCACAAACGGGGTGCCGGCCACCAGCACGTTTCGCTAATTCCTGCCTCCCACTTTGGAGGGAGGGTGCAGCGCGTGTAGCCAGGGCCTGCAGCGCCTCAGCCCCGCCTGGCCTTGCAGGAGTTCTGGTGCCCCTGGGGTCACACAGCCCCGAGTGGAAACTATTCCTCAGGGCAGCTCTCCTTGGCTTTTCTATCCTCTGAATCACGCATTTTTCTGCCCTTATTTGGTGCTGATTTGGTTGCTGGGCGGCCATCCAGGGCGAGTTTGCAGGGGGAAGCACAGCCGCGCAGCCTGGCTGCGCTCTCAGGAGCGCGCGCTCCTTCCTGCCCGTCGAGCTGGAGAGGGCCCCAGGGAGACCGCAGGCATGGAGGCGGGCTGCCTGGGGAGGGAGTAGAAGCTCTGTTTTTCCTTTCAGTCCCCAAGAGAAGAATTCTTTCTCAGATGTTTTTGTAGTTGGAGCATATTTTTGCCATAGCTTTGAGGAGACTTCCCCTCCTGACTCACCCCCTTTCCTGGGAATTTCCTTTCCTAAATCGAACGCCTCCAGTGTTCACTCAGAAACCTCCCTTCTCCTTCCTCCCCACAAGGAAACAAACAAGAAAACAGTGGTGCTTGAGGGGCCCCTTTAGCTGAGCTTGAGGCCACTCAGGGGCTTCCCTGGGAGGTCCGCTGTGAGCCCTGCCAGGCGACAGTATCCGGGGGGCTCTTTGCTGTTAGAAGCTGAAGCAGCCGAACTTCTGCACGTGGCTCAGCAGGGAACCAAGGGCGCACTGCGGTGGCGCTGCTCCTGCTGAGGGGAGGCGCTGGGCTCCAGAAGCAGGGCTGTGCGCGCTGTGAGCGTCACAGGTCCCGCTCGGTGGGCTAGCAGGGGGCGGCCGGCGGGGCAGGGCGGCTTTCCCAAGCTCACCTGGAGAGTGAGACTTCGGGGACCATGGGGCCGGGCATCTTTCTGGCCCAGCTGTGAAATCCCACAAGGCTTTTGTAGGATGATGACTTCCCTCTTCCCTTTCCCCAGGGTCGAGTTCCAGAATAAATTCTACAGCGGTACCGGTTTCAAGTTCCTGCCCTTCTCCTTCGAGCACATTCGGGAAGGGAAGTTTGACGAGTGAGCCCCTCGTGGGGCTGTGTGCCTGCCGCCCTTCCTCCCTCACTCCACGGTGATTAGCTGTGCTCCTCCTGCGTGTTGGTTGTGATCCCTGGATTCTGGGGCATTTGTGTCATCCTTGCCACCCGCCCCCAGCCCCCTGTGCATCATTTAGGTAGACCTGGCCCTCCCTTCGGTTCCCTGCCACCTCAGCCTTGTGCGTTGTAGTGATTTTCTAGAGAAGCTGAGCTCTGACAGCCACACCACTGGGCACCACCAGCCTTGCCCTCCCCCCCACCCCCCTCCACTCTCCGTCCAGCCAAAGACAGCTCCTCTCAGTCCCCTGGTGGTGGATGTGTGCACTTCCATATGCACCGGAAGCCCACGGAGGGAGCGCCTTCACCACCCTCACCCAGATGGGGCGCTTCTGCCGGCCATTCCAGTTCTGGTGGGGGGAGGGGCGCTCTTTAACACCCGGCCACTGGGTTTGCTGGAGCGGGTCCGGAGGCTGGTGCGTCTGTCCCCTGCCTCCCACCTCCGGTCTTCAGAGCACTTGTTAATCAGGAATTCAGCTGGACCTCCCTGTGCCATCATGCATGGCTTCTCCTCGTCACCCCCAAGGGTCCCAGATTACCCCACACCACCTTCCTAACCTCCACTCTATACTCACACCCTCTCCTCCTTCCCCCCAGAGCTCCCTTCTTCCCCTCCCGTTTGCACCCTGCATAACAGCACAGCTGGGAGTGACCCAAAACAGAGGGCCTGGCAGCTGCTGCTCAGGCCCTGTGTGGGCCCTGCCACAGCACGCCCTCCGGGCAGAGACTTTAAACTGACCCTCTTCCTGGTGCAGACCCTGAGACGGTTCCCCACCCCCAAATCATGAGCCTTGAGTGAAGGACGGTAGTCCTGAAGGGTGGTTCTCTGGCAGGCCAGCCTTGCTCTGCCCACACGTGCTCTTCCCCACTTCCACAGTGAGCCCAAGTCTGGGGAGTGAGGCCCTGGGCCGGGAAGGTCGCTGTCATTCGCAGGCTGCAGTTGGGCGGCGGCCAGCAGGGGCTGCTGGGCCTGTGGCTGTGAGGGCTGAGTGGCCCGCCCGTGAGTTGGTGGTGAGCACCCCCAAGGGGCCGGCTCCCCGTCACCCCCACACCGGCTGTGGGTCCTGGGGCCTTTTAAGCATGTGTTGTTGACGCAGCAGCCCTGGCTGCTTCATCTAAATTGATCCAGTCACTTTCAGTGGCTGAGATAATCCCCTGAATTGGCCAGGCCCCGGCCCTCTTCCCACCCTGGCTTTCCTGAGCGAGCTGCTTAGAGCTGCTAACTCCACTCTCCAGGGCGGGGCTGGCCCTGGGCCACCCGCCCCAGATGCCCCAGCCTCCCCACCTGCAGGCCAGTGTGACCTGCCCCAGACCTTGCGCGGAGCCCCCTCCCCCGTGACCCCCGTGGTTTACATGAGGATCTTTGCTCTGTTTACAGCGGGGCTTGAAGCGGAGTTCTGTGTCAGGAACTCTGCCCGAGGCCCTTCTGTTCAGACATTCCTGTGCTGAATAAAGTGTGTTTGACCCTGTCTCTGTGCCCACAGCCCCTTTGCACACTGTCCCCCTTCCTCCTCCAGCATTTCTGTGTCTCTCGTCAAAGGCCACAGCTGCAGTGGCCCTGACCGGGCAGTTAGTTTGTGAAATTCTCATCTTATCTCAAGTTTCACAGGCACCTTCCACTCTTATGAGCCAAGGCAGCTTTGCAGACACTACACGTGGTGAAGAGGGGACTTAGGGACCCGGCTTCGTGTCCCTTCACATACCACCTACCCAGACGGCAGGGGCTTGCGGAGGGGTCTGGACCTCCGCCTGCCCTCTCCCTCCTTTCCAGTTGTGCTCTTCAGGGCTCAGTAGCCTGGCTATTTTGAGCGCCGATGCCCTTGGCCTTGGTGTAAGAGGCGGCACAGCGTGCGGTTCCTTGGGGCAGCTGGAGAATGTGAGGTGCCGCAGTGGGCAGGTGGCCAAAGAGCCTGCAGACCGTCCAGGCAGGCAGGGTGGTCAGGGAGGGCACCTCTCCCTCCTAACTGCCATGTAAGGCATCCACATTCCCTCCCTGCGCCCTCCCTCCCCATTCCCCCCTCCCCATTCCTCCCTCCCGGGGCCCCCAGGGCAGGGGCTGCGAAGGAATGTGAGCAGCAGGCAGACAACTGCATGAAAACCCTGTTCCTGTCATGTGCCTACTCCCCCCGCCCCCGAGCCTCAAACCCTCCTCCCTGACAGGCCAGCTGCCTGGAATCAGCCCTTGGGGCAGCACCCGACCTGGCTCCTCCAAAAGTCCACAGGGAAAGTTCAGGTAAATGAATGCTTTTTAGCTTCTGCTCTGTTAATTGGCTCAAAACGGGAGGCCTAATTAAAATAGATATGTGGAATCAATGGAATAGAATTGAATTGAGAGTCCAGAAATAAACCCTAACATTTATGGTCAACTGGTTTTCCACAAAGGGGCCAAGCTAATTCAATGGGAAGAAAAGTCTTTTCAACAAATGGTATTAGTACAACTGGTTGTCCACATGCAAAAGACAAAATGTGGACCACAACCCCACACTATATACAAAAATTAACTCAAAATGAGTCATGGACCAAAAAGTAAGAGTAAAAACTAAATAAAACTCTAAGAGGAAATCATGAGTCTTTATTCTGACCTTGGGTTAGGCAACGATTTTTAGATATGACACCCAAAATGCAAGTGATAAAGATAAGTTGGGCTTTAGCAAAACTTTAAAATTGTTTGCTTCAAAGGACAGAATTAAAATGTTAACACTGGGAGACAATATTTGCAGATCTACAATTGACCGTGAATAACATATTTGAACAGCATGGATCCACTTATATGTGGGGTTTTTTTCCAATAAATATACAGTTGGCCCTCTGTATCCCCAGGCTGAATGGCCAATAAGCCCACGACAAAATGCTCAACATAAGTAGTCATTAGGGAAATGCAAATAAAAAACACAAGGAAATACTACATCACATCCACTAAAAAGGTTATAATAAAAAGTTAATTACAAGTGTCAGCAAGGGATGTGGAGAAATTGGAACCCCTAGTCACTGCTGGTAGGAATGTAAAATGGAGCACCTGCTTTGGAAAGCAGTCTGGCAGTTCCTCAAAATGTTAAACATAGAAGCAAGCAACATAAGACCCAGCAATTCGACTTCTAGGTATCCACTCAAGAAAAATGAAAAGACGTGCCCGCAGACTTGTACACAAAGTTCACAGTAGCCCCCAAACAGAAACAACCCACTGGCCATCAGCTGGATAAACAAAAAGCAGCCTGTCCACACAATGAGGAGTATTCTACAATAAAAAGGAGTGAAGTGCTGACCCATGGTGCAACACGGATGGGATGCAAAAACATTACGCTAATCAGCCAGACACCAGACCACATAATACCTGGTTCCATTTGTGTGAAATGTCTAAAATGGGCAAATCTATAGAGACAGAAAGCGGATGGATGGTTGCCCAGGACTGGCTGCTGGATGTGTTTGGGGGCAGGAGTACAATGGGCGAACCCCTTCCTATGGAATCCCTGGACCCCCGACATCTGCTGAGTGAGCCTGTGCCCCCCTGTCCAGCGAATGCCCTTCATCTCGTGGTCCTAGGACTGGCATGGAAAGGGCGGCTTTGGGCCGGCTCAGTGTTACAAAGACAAGGGACAATTCCATCCCCGCCTTCAGGACCCACTTTTGTCTTGTTCACTGGGGGCCTGGGTGGGACTGTGCCTCTTTCTGCCCCAGGAGCCCTGGGTAGAAGGGGCACTGGAGCTCCCCTCAGATCCCAGGGACCTGGCTGCCTTCCCAAGGCCTGTCCTAGGCGTGTCCTAGGCTGCCCCCTCGTGGCCAGACAGTGAAGGGCTCGGTCCTCCTTACTGGCAAGCGAGTGTGAGCTTACCTGGGTTGTGACAGGCAGGTAACTGGCTTGGCTGGGCAGTATTCCGGGGTAGGTAGGCGGAGGGGGCAGGAACAAAAGAAGGCATGATGAGGTGGAGAGTGGGAAGCTGGGCCTACTTGTTACACGCCCATTAATGGAAAAAGTCAAGTCCTCCCAGCTCCAGCATCCCAGTACCCCATGGGAGGCAACCACTGTTTCCATGGCCTTTTACACACACACACACACACACACACACACACACACACACGGAAGTGTACTATACCACTGGGTATCCTTTAAAAAAAGAATATAGTTTGCAGAACATTCCAAATCATTAACAACACATCTTCCTGATTTTCAGCAAATGATTAGTAGTTGATACCTCAATTTTTTCAACCAGCCCCGACTGTCCTCAAAGAGTTCCCAGCCTTCCTGACAGCAAGGGTCAGGGAAGATAAGAAAAGAGTGTGACGTGCCCGAAGTCATCCCTGAAGCTCCCGCCCAGCACCTACGAACTCAGCTTTAAATGTGCTACCGACGCCCGTCATGACGTCCCCAACCTACTACCCCTGCCAGCAACCCCCCAGCACCTGGGGTGAATCCCAACCCCACCTCTCTGTTCCCTAAGATCCAGAAATGCCAGTAAAGCAGGCCTGGGCAGGAGGAGACTCTAATTAAAATCTCAGCTGGAGAGAGGAGTATTTGGAGGGAAAATGGGGTGGGGGTGAGGGAAGCTGGAGGGGAGCGGAGACGGGCCTGGGGGAGGTGGTGAGGCTGCAGCCGCGATGAGGGCACAGCTCTGTGGGTTGGTCTTGGAGCCACTCCCTGGGCAAGGCTGAGAACCGTCTGATACGAGGAGTGAGAGCGGGGTTTGCACCTGCTGAAAGAGCCACTCACTGAGCCAGGAGCAAGGCAGGGGGACTGCGGCTGAGTCTGCAGCTGGGAGCAGGGAGCAGGGAAGCAGAGCAAGTCCAGTGGACTCCCATGTTTGTTTTTTTTTTTTTCAGTCCAGACTCCAGATTCTTTGGATTGGCAATCCTCCTCTTATCCCCTTCCTGTCTCTAAGCAGCTTCACTCAGGCCGGGCACTCTGAAAAATCTGCACCTGCCTCCAAAAGGGCACATAATCCCGTTAGAAAAGTTTTTCTAAAGGGCCCACCACAAAGCCCCGTTCAACATCCCCTCCCCCCCGCGCCCCGCCCAGATAGGCAGCCTGAGGAGGTGCAGCACTTGGGGAGCAGCGGCAAGAACGCTGGTCTTGGAGGTGGGAGTTCTGGCTCTCGTTCCAGACCTGCTCTCCTGCTGGAACTGATCTTTTCTGAGTCATTTCCTTTCTCTGGCCCTCAGTTGCTCAACATGTCAAATGAAACTAACTCCTGTCTTGTGCCGCTGCTGCCA